CCACAATTAATTTCCTACATTTGCACTCTCCTTTCTTTTTATTTCTCTCAAATATTGACTAACGGTATCTTTCTCAATAGATTGTGAAAGGTACAAATGTTTATGGGATCCTTCGTGCCCCTCGAGCGCCACGAACTGAAGCCCTGGTGCTCAGTGCTCCTTGCAGCCCCGGTGAAAACAACAACCAGGCTGTGGGCCTGTTGCTGGGCTTGGCTCACTACTTCCGCAGTGAGTAGTCCACCTTCTGACTGTTCCGCAACAATCGGAAAAACCTTGAAGAGATTTGACACTTAAATTGAGTGCCGATGAGTCAAGTAATTCTTCTGTGGTTACCAGGTCAAGTTTTTTGGGCCAAGGACATTATTTTCCTTGTGAATGAGCATGACTTGATTGGTATGCAGGCCTGGTTGGAGGGCTACCACCACACCAACACTACAGGTGATCATCTGGTCAAAATAAACAGCAGAGATTCTTGAGTAAAAGGCGTAAGTCATATGTTCTTGATTTGATCAAAAACAATGCATCTCGGTGCGTTTTTTATTCTAGGAATGGACTGGTCTCCATTACAAGGTCGCGGTGGTTCAATCCAGGCCGCTCTATCTTTGGAGCTCAGCAGTGACGTTATCACCAGTTTGGACATAATACTGGAAGGTCTCAATGGCCAGTTGCCAAACCTGGATTTGGCAAACCTCTTCTATGCTTTCTGCCAGAAGATAGGAGTCCTATGCACCATCCAGGGCCGGGTAAAGGCCTGTAAACACATAACAGCGTTATCCGGTTAGCAGAGCTGGAGGATTCTAATTTTTACTTTCATTTGCGAATGCTTCTGTAGCTGCAGAGGAACGACTGGGACAGCGTGTCAGGCTACAGCCATGCTGTCCAGACCATGATGCTGATGGTAATGAAGCAGGCCAGCGGGCGGCCGTGGGGAGACCACGGTTTGTTCCTGCGCTACCACATAGAAGCGGCCACCATCAAGGGCATCAACAGCTTCCGCCAGTACAAGACAGACGTCACCACAGTCGGCAGGTCAGAACCACAGACTGCTGATTTTTTTTCTTTGTTTCTTTTTATTACATCTATCTCTTTATCAGATGTTGAGGCATCGAGGATACAAAGCATTTTATTAAGCGTGCTATTTCTCCATTTTGTTCTCTAGAAATTTCTTAAACTCTATACATTTTACACTGTTTTTCAAAATGTGACTTAAAATCACAAGAGCATTTAAGAAAATGTACAGAATAAACAAATGTTTTAACAACCTTGTAATATCAAACAATTTTCTTCCACTTGATTTTCCATTAATGTTCTTGAATGCAGCACACTGACCACTGACTGCATGCAATCACTTGTTGCTTCCCCCTCAATGAAGGGGGTAGCTATCAGGAATTCTAAAGCCTTTTCATTGATTAAATGTTATTTTATAAAACCTTTTCATTTACCTTTAAATTCATATCTTGATATTTTTGCATTTCTGATGTCTTTTACATTTTAGACTCCTGGAAGGGATGTTTCGAAAACTAAATAATCTTCTGGAACGCCTTCACCAGTCCTACTTCTTCTACCTCATGCCATCACTTTCCCACTTTGTCTCCATTGGATACTATATGCCCGCCTTCGGCCTCCTTGCGGTCATCCTGCTGCTTCGTGTATCCTCTGGTGATGATTTCACTTTTCTTTTTTTTTTTTAGCTGAAGTCAGCCTTAAAAAAGCTATTACTGACTGAATCTTAGTTGTGCAGTCTTTCCATTTCTCCTCCTTGACTTTAAGTTCAGGCCTTGGGGCTTTGGGTGCAGCTTGCCAGTCCACCTGTCAGAGCAGCGGATGGAGTTGGTGACATTGTTCAGGTTAGAAATAGACACTGATAAATTGATGATAGATGAAGGCATTTGTTTCTTCTTATTCACCCATAAAAACCTTCCTGGGTGCAGCAGTCCAGCCCTGGAGTTCTGTCAGTGTTGACTCCTCTGGTGATCAGCCACTTGACCGGAGCGGCTCTGTACATCCTGCCAACCCGTTTCCAGGAGATCGCCGTTGAACACTTCCCGGTTTCTGAGACTGAAGCCGTCGTCCTCACAGCCATTGCCATTTACACAGCAGGCCTGGCTCTGCCTCATAACACACACAGGTACCGGATGGCACAACCTCTGATTTATGACACTTTTTCATTTATACTCAGCCTTTTTTGAATGAAAACACTGTTAAGGTTCACCAACAGTGTCTAGAATGACGCTGTAAAGGGCAACAAAAAACAAACACCTTTTTATGTAATCTTGATTAAAACCAATATATGGATACTTTGAAATATAAATAGAATCAGTCTGCTGCAGTAATATTAATTTCTGATCTCTAGACTTACAGGAAGGATTTGTGTTATGATTTCACTCCACTTATGAGACACAGGGAGTCAGATTTAGAGCTACTAAAGTGTCAAGTTGTTATAAATTCTGGCAAAGGGAAATAGAGCAACAACCGTATAGGCTTCAATTTACGATCCATCCAACATTCAATCAGTCATCTGATGTCATTCAAACATCCTAGCACTGACCAAACAATATGATTAAATAAATATTTAGCTTTGCCTGTGTTGTGGTTTTGGATTAATTCTTATATTTAGATCTGACTTTTTACCACTATGCTGACATCAGTTATAGCCATATTTCCTGCATCCCAAACATTGAAAAAAAAACTTTCTGAAAAGTCATGCCTCAAATAAAAATGAATTTCCCTCCATGTGGAAGTGGAGACAGCTGTCACTTTGACAGTTTCTGTTGTGTTGCAGGTTGTTGTCGGGGGAGGGGACGGAGCAGGGCTGGAGGGTGCTGAAGCTCGTTGCTGTTCTTTACCTGGCCGTCCTACTGGGTTGCACTGCCCTCATTAACTTCTCCCTGGGCTTCATCCTGGCTCTCACCCTGGTGCCTGTGGCTGCTTTTGTTACACCCCATGTGCCAAAGTAATTCACTGACGGTCATTTTTTGATCAACATTTATGTCTCAGCAAAATAAATCTGAACAGTTTCAACCCTCTCTCCCTTTCTCTTCAGAACTTTGTCAGCTATCGTGTTGGTGATCCTCAGCCCAGCCTTCACGCTCCTCTTCTCTGTGTTTTTCTTCCAAGAGCTGGAGGAAATGCCCGTTAGCTTCCAGGATGGCTGGCTGTTGTACCTATCAGTTATTTCGCAGGGAATCCTGGACCACTACTTGTACGGTTCTCTGGTATACCCACTGATTGCCTTGATGATTTTTCCATGCTGGCTGCTTTTCTGGAACATCCTCTTCTGGAAGTAGTCTGCAGGTCTGCTGCAGGCTTCACACTTTGGGATGATCTCAGGTTTACTTGTTTTTGGGGGAATGCGAAGAACAAATGCTTAGATCCTCTGGAGAGTTAAACAAGAACATTTACATTGCGAAAAACAAATGACTCTTGTGTTTTTTTGTTGGTTTGACATTTTTACTCCAAGTTTGTATTTCACCTTCCAGAGACTGTAGCCATTTTCTGGCCATCTTGAACATTTTAAGCGATGCATAAAGTGGTTTGTACTTCACATAACTTTTAACAATTGTAGGGGAGGGGGACATCTAATATAGTGGACATAAATACAATTTTTTTTTTTGGTGAGGAAAGTTCATTTCTTTTTTAATAGTTTGGTTTGTGGTACTTGAAGAAAAGATTGCACTGTTGTTTTCAAAAACTGCTTGAGGGACAGGATGGTAAAGATATTAGCCTGATAATTATTATGACGCTATTGGTGGATAAGCTGTTAAGCGAGCTGCCACCGATATTTTTCTACTTGTTTTTGTCACTTTTGTTTCCGTGAGACGTGTTTATTCGTATTTATAACTCACAACGTTAAATATGTTTAAAACTGAATCTGTGTTGTTTGTTTCTGCTTTCATTTCTCTTTCAAGCTTTTAAAACCACAAAGGTGTAAATTATTATAGCGTCCGTCCAGCCTAGACAGTCCTCTCCACAGCGGCTCGCTCGTCCTCACGCTGATGACTACCTTCAGCATTTTCTGACCATGCCTTGATTCTCCATCCATTGACATGTTGTTTAGATGATCAAAGCACCTCAGATGACTGATGCAGAGAAGCAGTTGCTCCACAGGTGATGGAGATCTACACCACATCTGTTAAGTCTGGTGTAGATCCAACCAACATTTCAACCTCTTGCTGTCTGGGATCTCATTCTTTTAGTCTTGACCACTGATGGTCAGAATGTAGTAGAACAATAAATCAAGAGCTTAGATCAGCACAGATAGATCTGCATAAATAATAAGAGCACAATCTTGATTTGTTCTTGCAAACCTCTATTATTGATCCATGTAGCCGGGGGTAGAAATTTATCTTGATAGTCAAAATATATCAGCAAATGCAGACTTGGGTCACATCATTTTATAAAAATAGCAGCAATAGAAGACTAGAATGGAACGCTTTATGCGATAATTCAAAATTATTTAAGATTTTAATTTAAATGTTGCTATCCTGACTTGATAAAGCTGCACTGCAAAACAATTCATTACACAGTGATATATAGCTAATTAACATTTATTTTTTTATTATGGGTAAAAAGAACTTGGCAAACTGCTGACTTTTAAATTACATTTTATTTTAGGTTGTACTTCACATGTTTTTTATGGATGTCTTAGTTTATTCTTATTTGAGATATTTTATCATGTTATATGTGTTTTATCTTTCCTATTTCTAAGGATGTTTTAAGCCCAACCACCTGGACTTAGATGTTTGGTTCATGACCCTCTTATCATTTTTTTATTTTTCTTTATTTTTCTTTTTTTGCATATGGAGATAAAGACACAGCAATTAATGTTTTCATAGTAATTTTGTTATGCAACAAATACCAAATGTGTATGCCAGTGAAAACTAACTAAAATATAGTTTTATTCATAGACAAGCTCTCCAGTTTGAATCTTAAATGAATCTTTGTGTCAGAAGAACTGGGAAGATACTTGCAGGAAGCGGCAAAGAACAGACACACACAGGCAGATTCCTTCCTTTATGTATAGATTATGCACTGAGTGGATCTTTCCTCGCTTTCACACCTCAGAGGAAATCAAATACAATTAAACTACTATTTGAAATTTACATCACATTGTTAATGCATTTTAGTAAAAATATTACACTAAATACAACCCTGTACATGGCGCATGCGTTTAGTTTTCCAACAATGTTTTGGCATTAATCTGTCATCCTGCTGCAGGTGACAGATTAACAGATTATCAGGCTATTGCACAAAGCATCATCTCTGCCCTCTCCGCATCTGGGGGACGCTGCACGCGACATTCCCTCATTTTCGGCTGCAAAGAAACAACGTCAGTCCCTTTCTCTGCTAAAATAAATATCAGGCTGCTTGGGCCACACACACACGCACGCACACACACACACAGACACCCACTCCAAAACAAATAGCGAAGATGTCTGGCCAAATGAGATGTACGTCACAGTCATGTCATGGTGTCCATATTTAAACAGACAAAACTGTCAGTGGATCAAGTGGCGCCGCCTCGCTCCAGTCAGATGGTGATCAGTGCACTTTATTCTCCCTCTGAGTATTTCGCCAACAAGTGTGTTTCAGATCTAAACTGCTCACTCTTGGCGTGTGTATGTGTGTGTGGGAGTGAGCGAGAAACAAAATCCGGGCGGCTATGACGTTGCAGTCAGCTGCGGCTCAAACCAGATTCTCTGCGATCCTCTCTCCGTCCTTTCTCCTTGGTGAGAGATGGAGAAAGGAGGTGACTGAGTGAGGGTGGCCGGTCAGACTGATTAAGCTGGACTCAGATGTGTGGGAGTACCTGCTGGATGCAGCTCTGCACGTCGGGTCTGGCGGTGGCACAGATCTCGCAGCCCGGGCGAGACGGCTTGTTAATGAAAGTGCACGAAGGACAGGCCCACTCTGTCTGCTGCAAGTTGAGAAAATGTAAATATTTTAGATTCCTCCGTCGTGAAACCAAACTTTAGTTTGCTCCATCCGTGGTCTATTCAAAACACCACATGGCTCAGATACCTGCGTCTTACTAGCCTTGTTGGAGTGATCATTCAGCTGCAGCTTCTCAAAATCGAGGACGTCTTTGATGTCTCCTGCTTTGTTATTCCCTCCACTTGTTTCTGCTAAAAATAGATTATTGACAGAGAAATAATCAAAGACTTGAAAAGACGCCTATCTGAAGAACCACCTAAGAATTTTCTAAAAAAAAAAAAAAAAAAAAATGACAAGAACGCAAACATCCCGAACAAACGCTTCAAGATGATTTATGTGTGTAAGTGAGATGTTTTAAGTGGACTCTTGGATTGTGTGTTTTTTTTTTAATTAGCTCTCATCAAAAGAAATCTGTGAAATGTTCAGTCTGATTATTTGTTTTCATGAACAAGAATTTGCAACAAGGCTTTGGTGAAAGGCAATAGAAGACCGAATTAGGAAATGGTGACTTTTATTGCACTCACCCTGGTTGTTGTGGGGAAGCTTTGATGGCAGAGTGCTGTAACCCCTCCAGACCTGGGAGGTGAGGCTGCTTCCAGGGGGCAGCGCCGAAGCCATCAGGGAGTTCTCCAGGTCCTGCTGGAACAGCTGCCGTGTAATGTGAGCTTGTCTGGCAGAGATCAGGTAAAGGTATGCTGTATCGCCGTCTTTCTGAACTCCGTAGGAAGCCAGTGAGCGCGGATCAGAGCACAGGCACTGACCGATCACCCAGCGCTGCACACGAGGATGGAAACCATACTCTAGAAAGACCTGGAGAAGCACAGCTATGGAAGTTAGCGGATAAAAGTCACCAGAAGCTTTGCTGTTTCACCAATTTCACAGTTTTCTCACCTGTTGTTTGAGTGTAGCTACAGACATGTAGGGAAAGACTATAACTGTGACGCAACAAGAAGAAGAGGCGTCTTCCACCACCACGGATAAACTGGCATGAACATGGATCACGGCATAAGTCAAATACAAGTGAAACGGACCGGGTCGAAAGCCTTCCTGCTTTCAATTCTGACCTGATTTCTCCATCTGTGTAGTTTTTCTGGGACGGCTGTATCGTCAGCATCGCTTTTTGTCGAGCCAGTGCAGACGCGTGCTGGGAGGCAGCCTGAATGTCGCCTGCTTCGATCACTTTGGAGAGCTCCGAGCACAACTCCTCTGAAAAACACAAGACAAGGTGAGGTTTCCAGAGCCTGCTGCGAGGGCAGGCGCAGAGCGACAGACTCACCACAGAGCGTCAGAGAGGTCGAGCTCCTCTGATCCACCGCTGCTTCAGAGTTGTGTTTCCCGTCCAATTCACAGGCGTTTATTTTTGCCACTGTCAGAGAGAAAACAGCGAGAGGAGTCACTGTATAACATCTCAATATGCGGTGGTTAACATACAGTTCAGCCCACTATTACTCAGAAGTTTTCAAATTCATTGTCATTCAAGTAAAATGTTTAGTTTCTGAGAGGAAATCAGATATGTTTCAAAAGTTAAAGAGCTGAAAAATCAATTTAGAAAACAATAAATGTCTTATTTAAATATGGTAATGTATTTTTAATAATATTCTAATTTATAGATTTCTACCTAAAATGAATAAATAAATGCATCCTTAAATCTAACATTTAAGGATGCATTTATAATAAAGTGATAAAGTTAAACAGGGATGAAGAATGTTGCTCTATAGTAATCTTCCAGCATCTTCAACAGAAATGTTGAATCTGTAAAGAGAAAAAAAAAAATCAGGAGTTTTGTTCAAACTGACCTCTGTGTGCCTCTCTCAGTGACGATATCACCACGGTGGACCAGGCCTCGGCCTCGCGGTCGCAGCGGAAGTTGAAGCGGATGCAGTCGTGAGGCGAAGCAGCAAGGCGCATCTCATGGCAGCGAGAGGATTTGACCTCGTACTGCACCGAGCGCAGGTCAAACTCTGCAATGAACTGAAGGTAAGAACACATGCTGTGACAAAACGGCTGAAACACATGAGTTTAGGTAAATTAAATGCAAGATTAAAACTAAAGAGAACGCAGGTCTGGATTGATCAGATTATTTGTAGATGCATGTTAGAGTGGATGATTAGACAAATTATTTCTCCTCTCACTAGTTTGTGATTGGGCTTATGAATCTGTAGAGGAATATGTACTTTTAAGTATTTCCAAAAACTTTTATTTTTCTTCATACTCACATTTGAGCATAAGTTAACATGAACTTAAAGAAGCACAATTCAACCTGGTGGTTGGAAGTATACACTTTGCAGTTTGCACAAGAAAAAAGAAAGTACCCCCTTTAGAATCTGCCAGAAATTCTGTAAATCCCCAGAGATTACTCTTTCAACATTATCCGTTTACACTCGTTCACTGCAGCTCTTTGGGAACATAAGGCCACAGAGGCAAAGAGGGTTTTCCCTCCTCCCAGACAGAGAGAAGACGTCCATGACTTCTTTGAAATTACTGAGTTAAAAAAAAAAAGTTATAGATGATCTAAAAGAAGCGGGGATCAAAGTAAAGCCATGCAAATCGGAAAGCATCTCAATTGTCGGTGGGGAAAACGTCTTACTCAGAGATGAAAAGCAGATTTGGAGCCTGCGAGGGTTAAGGTGGACGTCATGTGGCGAACTTGGCAAACACGGGACAGATGTGGGAGTTGTGTTTGGATACAGTGAGCCAAGTGAAGTGTAGACGTTCGCAGGGTGAAAACCTTAACATAACAATTTCTTATCCTTAAAAGTCTATCAAATTCCTTCACGCTGACATATGAGAAACGCAGAAAAAGAGAGCAAACGTTCATTTGCGGTTGTATTTTTTTAGCTAAAGTTACTCAACTTTTTATTTTCTCAATATATTTAAAAAACATTTTGAAATCTTTTTTTTCTGTTTTCATAAGGATCTTATTCAGACATTATAAACATAAGGTGGATCCACATTACATCCAGACGGTGGATAATTAAGTCCATGAAAAGATGGAAAAAGTGGAGCTACCTTTATATACAGCTTGTTTAGAGCTACATTTCTAGAATGTAATAAGTTGGCTACTCAGACAATAGTTAATAATAATAGCATGCTATCTTCTGTAGTTGTGTGACATTTTTGAAACCTTCAATTGAAGAATGACTGAAAGATTTCTACTCTGACAGCAACTCAAAAGATGCCATAGGATCTTAATATTTCTCCAAACTGTTTATTTAGCTTTTTTATAAAATTTTGAAACTTTGTCTTAACAAGACACTTTCTTCAGTTAACAAGTTTTCAAAAAGTTAACAGATTCTGTGATTTAAAGTCCTTTTAATGAAAAAAGTGTAAAAGTGACCCGATGTTTTTTTTCTGGATATAATATATCTACCAATCAGCCAGCTGAAATACACATTTTTACTGTGTCCAGATAAAGCCAAATTTGTCTGATTGAAGCTATCTGGGGTCAGTGATGCACAAATACCAAAACCCGATAAGCAGAATTCAATTTTCAATTCAATTAGGTTTATTTATATAGCGCCATTTCACAACAAATGTATTTTCAGGGCTCTTTGTTGAGTCATTCCAACTAAATTACACACACTTTCTTGTTGATCTTGGTTATCACATGATTCATTAAGTTCAGTTTATTATTCAAATTAGTTTTAAAAGTTTTCTGTCGAAGGAAATCCAGTAGATTACGAGTCGTTGATTTGTCTTTAAATTCACAATAATCCCTCACACCAAGCATGCATGGAGCGACAGTGGAGAGGAAAATTCCCCGTTAACAGGAGGAGACCGTCAGTAGAACCTGGTTCAGAGCGAGGCTTTGAGAAGACAGAGCAGATGCACTAAAAAGAAACAAAAGAACTAATGTAGGAGTACGTCATGTTAATTAAAGCAGGGGAACAGTACATTTAATGGCTGGCAGCAGTAATTCAAAAGGCAGGACTGACTGGTGTATTTTGGTAAATTGAAGTCTAGATTCCAAAAGGACTCAAAAGATAAATACTGTGCAACACCTCCAAATGTGGTGGGTAACATACAGCTCAGTCTGCATATAGTGGATTTGAATTGCTTTCGAATTCCAAATGGAAAAGAAGCTATCTAAGATTTGCATTTTATTTGCCTGACTTTATAATTCTGACTGTAACCTTAGTAGTATAGTTGTAAAAGGAGATGAAACACTGAATCCGCTTTTGAACTGCTCAAGATGGCCTGCACTGTCCAGGCCAACGTCGCTATGAGGGATGTGAAGATGCAGGAACCTGGGTGCTTCCCCAACATCTGAGCGTTCAACATCAGCTCTGCAGGTAAACAAACGAGTACGCGGATGGGAACCTCACCACACTGCGGTTTCCGCTCGTATCTCGCAGTGCCAGGCGGAACTCTCCGGCCAGGTTCGGGTCCATGCTGAGCTGCAGCCGCAGAGAGTCGCTGCCCGCCCCAGGTAGGCACAGGGGTCTGATCCCGGAGTGGGACACCGATACGCGGACTGACATCAGGACAGTGCTGCAGCATGCAGCCGGGCTGGGGCCGCTGCACGCAGGCTGCTGGGACGAGGCAGGCACCGGGGCTGGGAGAGCCCAGCTACCCGAGCTGAGTGCCATGTTTCAGACACCGGGGCCGGAGGACGGCTCTTTGCTTCTGCCTGCTTCTGCCGTAGAGTCTACACGGTTCGGCCCGGTTTAAAGAGACGTGGTATGTTCACGGGTAGACTGTGGTTGTGTATCTGCCTTGCAGGTTCTTCCATTTCTATTGAACCGAGCAGATGGGGAGCGAAAGAAAAACAAAACAGGAAGAAGAACAGCACGTCTCTTATTTACGTCCGGAGAGAAACAAGAGTCGCCGATCTGGAAATGGTCTAAAATAAAGACCAGAACAGAATCATCCTGTTATCTTCATATAACTGTGTGATACAACAGCAGAGTGATTTCAGTATTCATATCAGCAACAGGAGAGTGTTCCTGCCCATAGCCATCACCTTATAATGAATTTGAGGAAACTTGGATAGTATAACATTTAAATATAATATATTTTCTGAATAGACCTTTTTCACGCTTCAGGTGTTATGCCGAGAAATGCATGCCTGCCGAGAATTGCATCCCCTGTCGCGGGAGCGCGCATCGCTCTAAACTCTCGCATATTGATGAGTAAACGGGCTGAAATCCGACCGAAGAGGAAACTTTTAAAGATATTCGTAACATTATCACGTTTATTAATCATGTAAGCGCTAAAATTGTGGGTTTTATTTCGCAAATTAATTGAAATAAACACTGATTTTTTTTCACGTTTACTGAGCCATATTTTGTCGAACGTTCTTCAGTGTCTGATGAACAAGTTCTCCGCAGCTGCTTTGAAATTCCAAGATTTTTCTTTTAACACCATAATAGCTTAAAACTTTACAAAACCGAGGCCCAATCCCAATTACGTAGAACATTTTATATTACGCTTAGCTGTCTAGTGTATTAATGTAGGGGAGATGCATTTTAATTTCTGAGCCTGCTAATATTTGCATCCCCTGTCTATTGTCCTGTTCATATGAAACTTATAGTGGGAACTCAGGGAACAAGTGTCATTATGTAGAAAAAATGTAATTTCCAAGTTAGCAGGGGATGCAATTTTTGGCAATATGGATTTCTAGCTTGCCAAAATTTGCATCCCCCCTGTTTTCATCAAATATGATCCAATTGAGGTGAAACTCATACCAGCAGTTCTTACAACTACTCTGGTCATGTAGGACAAGTTATTTCACTCTTAACTCTTTATTTCTCAGAGTTAGCAGGGGTGCAATTTTTGGCAATATGGATTTTCAGCTTGCCAAAAATTGCATCCCCTCTATTTTCATCAAATATTTTCAGAATGATATTAAACTAATACCAGTAGTTCAAAGAACTACTCTGGTCATGTAGAAAAACATATTTCACTCTTAACTCATTATTTTTCAGAGTTAGCAGGGGATGCAATTTTTGGCAATATGGATTTTCAGCTTGCCAAAAATTGCATCCCCCCTGTTTTCATCAAATATGATCCATTTGAGATTAAACTCATACCAGCAGTTCTTAGAGCTACTCTGGTGATGTAGAAAAAGTTATTTCACTCTCAACTTTGTGTTTCTCCAAGTTAGCAGGGGGATGCAATTTTTGGCAATATGGATTTTGCTCCTGCCAAAATTTGCATGTCCTCTCTATTTTTCTCAAATGTTATGCTAATAACATGGAACTCATAGCAGAAGCTCATACAGCTATTCTTCTTATGCAGAAGATGTTATTCCACTCTTAATTTTTTATTTGTACACGTTAGCAGGGGGATGCGTTTTATGGCACAGCCTATTATCAACCTGCCAAAATATGCTTTCCCTCTCTTTTTTTCCTCAAATGTTATCCTATTGATATGAAACTCATACCAGCAATTGAGGGAACAAATGTGATTATATAGAAAAAGCTATTTCACTCATAACTGTTTGTTTTTTTAAGCTTGGGGGGGATGCATTTTTTGGCATAGCAAATTATGAGCTGCCGATATTTGCATGCCCTTTTTTTCAGCTCAAAAGTGTCGTACAGATTTGAAAGTCACTCTAGTAGCTCAGAGCATACGTGTCATTGTCTAGAACATTTCATATAACACATTACTATCCTAATTCTCCAAATTGCAGGACATGCATTTCTGACAATTTTCATTTTGAGCACATTCTCAGATGCATTCAATAATATTGATGACAATAGCGGGGATGCAGATTTTGGCAACCTGAAATTCCACATTGCCGGAAAATGCATCCCCTGTTAACTTGGAGAAACACAGAGTTGAGAGTGAAATAACTTTTTCTACATCACCAGAGTAGCTATAAGAACTGCTGGTATGAGTTTCATCTCAATTGGATCATATTTGATGAAAACAGGGGGGATGCAATTTTTGGCAAGCTGAAAATCCATATTGCCAAAAATTGCATCCCCTGCTAACTCTGAAAATAATGATTAGAGTGAAATATGTTTTTCTACATGACCAGAGTAGTTCTTTGAACTACTGGTATTAGTTTAATATCATTCTGAAAATATTTGATGAAAATAGAGGGGATGCAATTTTTGGCAAGCTGAAAATCCATATTGCCAAAAATTGCATCCCCCTGCTAACTCTGAGAAATAAAGAGTTAAGAGTGAAATAACTTGTCCTACATGACCAGAGTAGTTGTAAGAACTGCTGGTATGAGTTTCACCTCAATTGGATCATATTTGATGAAAACAGGGGGGATGCAAATTTTGGCAAGCTAGAAATCCATATTGCCAAAAATTGCATCCCCTGCTAACTTGGAAATTACATTTTTTCTACATAATGACACTTGTTCCCTGAGTTCCCACTATAAGTTTCATATGAACAGGACAATAGACAGGGGATGCAAATATTAGCAGGCTCAGAAATTAAAATGCATCTCCCCTACATTAATACACTAGACAGCTAAGCGTAATATAAAATGTTCTACGTAATTGGGATTGGGCCTCGGTTTTGTAAAGTTTTAAGCTATTATGGTGTTAAAAGAAAAATCTTGGAATTTCAAAGCGGCTGCGGAGAACTTGTTCATCAGACACTGAAGAACGTTCGACAAATATGGCTCAGTAAACGTGAAAAAAAATCAGTGTTTATTCAATTAATTTGCGAAATAAAACCCACAATTTTAGCGCTTACATGATTAATAAACGTGATAATGTTACGAATATCTTTAAAAGTTTCCTCTTCGGTCGGATTTCAGCCCGTTTACTCATCAATATGCGAGAGTTTAGAGCGATGCGCGCTCCCGCGACAGGGGATGCAATTCTCGGCAGGCATGCATTTCTCGGCATAACACCTGTTTTGAAAGCGGATGAAGGGTTGGACAACTTCCGATGGCTATAACGTTAGCCTTTTAATGCTAGGAAAATGGCTCAGTCTCGGGGCAGTTGTTTTTCTTCAGTCCCTGGTTGTTCATGTGAGGCAAGAAAACAGCCTTATCCGTCGGAGCGCGGATCCACAACGGAGGCAGTGGATCCAGGCGATCCGAAGAGATGAAGGTCCGGACTTTTGCATAAAGACGGGGAGCACTTTCGTATGTAGCCGCCACTTCACACCGGAGGATTTTGTTAGCGGATCCACCACCAACCGCCTTAAATGTGGAACTGTTCCTTCCCTGTTTGCCTGGAATAACTTCACTTCACCGGCAATGAGAGAGTCTGATTTCGAGAGGGCTAAGAAGCGGCAGTTTGTCCTCAGAAAGCTAGCCAGGCTGAAGATGCTACTGTGGACCATGACTACACGGCACATCCACCCGCAGGTAAAAGATAGTATATTGTATATATTTTCCATGTAAGATAATTTCAGTAAAATATAACTGTTGCTATAATAATATTATTATTAATATGAAATATTATAATATTTTATTATCACATAATAATGAAATTATGAGATTATGTATTTTGTGGACAGATTAAGTCAATGGCTGTATACATACATGCTCCGACTCACAACATGTATTGATCTTCACAGAAATAATGTTTCAAATATATAATTAAAACTTATTGCTATCCGTATGTTTTGCTATTTTATTTTGTGGTTTTACAGGTGCACTTGATGAAGCTCTGGATTATATCTAGGAATTGGAAGCCAGACTTCAAAAGTGGATTTGTCTGCCACACTTTTAGCCGCTAATGTGCCTCTGATGACCAGATCCGGTTCTACACCAAATTTCCATCTGAATGTGTGTTACTGATCTTCTGGGAGTCCATTGACCCTTGCATGTCTGTTGGTGTTCTGGACCAGAGCACAGAAACTTGGAGAGGAAGCATGTGCTGAAGCCAGCCCTGCCTGCTGCCTGCCTCTGATTGATGAGTTCCTGATGTTCTCATTCAGGGTTGCAGTGGGCATGAAGGAGCAGCTCATTGCTGACATGTTTCAAGTCAGCATAGCTACTGTCAGCCGAGTGACCATCACCTGGGCCAACTACCTCTTCATTGTGTTCTCTTCCATCAACCTGTGGATTAATTGTGAGAAGGTAAAAGCCAGTATGCCTCAGAAATTTCTGAAGTTCTCTCCAAATGTCCTTGTCATCTTGGACTGCACAGAAGTTGTTCTGGAAAGGCCATCATCCCTCACCTTACAGTCTGAAACGTTCTCTGCCTTCAAGAACCACACCGCTCTGAAAGGGCTGATTGGAGTTGCTCCCTGTGGGTTGGTGGCATTTATTTCAGCGTTGTACACAGGCTGCATCTCCGACAAAGAAATAACGAAGGTCAGTGGAATCCTTCCTCTGCTTGAGTTGGGAGATGAAGTCATGGCAGATAAAGGCTTCCTCATTCAGACCTCCTTCATGAAGTTGGAGCCAAACTCATCATTCCACCATTTAAGCATCCTGGTCAGTTCAGCAAGGAAGAGAGAGAGGAGACCCAGACCATTGCTCAGCTGTGGATCATTGTAGAGCGAGCGATCACTAGAGTAAAGTGCTACCACATCTGGGATTCCCTGGTGCCTCTCACTTTAATAGGAACTGTCAATCAAATCTGGCACAACTGTTGTGTTTTGGCAAATTATCAAGGCCCATTTTGTTGCAGACTAAATTATTTCTGTATGTTAATTGTTTAATACTATGTAAAAGTAAAATGTCTAGACTTTTGCAAAAAATATTCAATTAAAACACACTTTAGCAGCACACTTGACTTTCTTTTTGTATTAAGTTGAATTGCACATATAATATCTGAAATAAGTTTCAGTATTTATATCAAATTGCTGACATAATTAACTCTTTTTTTAGAGATATTTTAACTTTTGCTGTAATTAATAAATACATTTTTGTCTGTCTGTGTGAAAGTTCTCAGACATACAAGTTATAGCCTTTGCACCATTACATTTATAAAGGAGTGTTAACTGTTAACTACCAGAAAAGAATAACAATTCCTTTGTGGGTCATTTCATTCTGTATTTATTAATTGCTTATTTACACACAACATTTAGTTCAAGATGGCAAGTGTCCTGTACTTGAACAGCGATTTATCTAGAGCAAAGGACCCCAAAGTGTTTCACACTACATTCGATCATTCACCCGTTCACAAATACATTCACACACTGAAGCCTTGAAGCAGTCTGACTGCACCTTCGCCATCAGGCCCTCTGACCACCACTATATCATTTGCAGAAGCATACAGAATGTTTTACTTAGTTATAAATTGGGTCATGAGTTAATTTTTTTTGTATATGACTTATAATATATTTTCAATGCTGGTATGTTTAAGTAAATGCTATAACTGATTAACAGAGTGGTATGCTCTTTTCGCTGCTTAAGGTCAGGCATTAAAGTACAGAAATTCAACATGTGCTCATTCCGTTCTTCCAAAATGCAGTCTTCCATATTTACTTTAGGAAACATTTAACAATCAGATAAACAGATCCAAACCCAGGAGGCTCTGAAAAATGTGTCACTGATTAGTGTTGTCATTCCAGATCAGAACCCAAAGTTAACAAATAACAAAGAAAAGTAATGTTTTTGTTTTTGTAGATTATCTAATAAAGGAGAAAGTCAAAAAAGCCGCAGCTAAAGGCACGCCATCATGTTAACCTAACACCTATTGCCACATTTTATCATGAATCTTTAACGAGAAGACGAGTTTCGCGTCCATTGAGCTGCTCAGGACATCAGGAGCCGTCCTGGTCAGACTGTGTAGGTCAGCGTCTGGTCAGAGAGGAAAAAAGTCACAGACATGTCTGTCCTGAAGGAGATCAGCTCAAATGTAAGAAATATAAAACAGACGGAGTGCTTAGTTTTGTTCAGGCGGACCAACCAGATCAAGGAGGAGCTCAGACAGGTAAAACGTAGACACTATACATTTGCGATACGTGAATGGAAAAAACAATTTAAAATATTCATTTTCTTTCTGTTTTAATTTTTTTATGTCTCAATTCACAGGGAGTAAAAAAGCCGTACAGAGAGGTGATTGATGTCTTCTGGGGTGACCCACACAGGGCAGGTCTGAAACCTCTTTCTTTTGTAAGACAGGTATGAGACAACTTAGAACCAAGGTTTACACACTTTCCTTGTTTTGTCCAAATAACTGTTAGCTGTCCTCTCTTATAGGTTCTTGCAGCTTGTCTCTACCCTCAGCTTATGGATGGAGACAAGCTGATGGTGGATGTCAAGCAGAGGGCTCAACACCTGCTGAGAACATGTGCGGGAGAGAGTGTAGGTAAGACTTGTGCATTTGTCCAGTATGAGATTCACTATATATGAAGACAAATTCATGGATGAAAAAAGTGAATTGCACTGCTAATTTGGGGAGATAATATGTGGTTAAAGGTGCCAGTAATAGTGATAATTGTGGAGGACACTGTCTATTGGGTCAGTCTTATGACAAAAACATAACAGAAAAGATGAAAGCTTTCATATCGCCACCAAGAAGAATCTAAAAAATGTTTTCATATATGATTTCTTTGAATTTGAAATAACTTTTGTCATGTCTCCAGGTTCTTACTCTGCCACAGCAGGAATACCACAAATAGTTCAGAGCGTCTCCGAATACATTGTGAGACGGGATGGAGGGGTTCCATGTCACCCTGAAAACATTTACATCAGCCCAGGCTCACAGTGGGCACTCACGGTAATTCAACACAATTCAATCTTCCTCTTCCTTTTGTTGGTAACCTGGTTAGCACAGTGTGTCGTCTCCTGGGCTCTTCAGAACATTTTTAAGGTCTTGGTGAATTCCGAGGCCTCACCCAGAACTGGAGTGCTGATCCCAGTGCCGTGCCACTCCACCACTATTATATCCCTCATGACGCTGGGAGCGGTGGCGGTTCCCTATTACCTCAGAGAGGAGCAGAGCTGGGCGCTGGAGACGGAAGAGCTGCAGCGAGCTTTGGACTCTGCAAAGGGAGTTTGCAACCCGGTTGCTCTATATGTCATCAACCCTGGAAACCCAGCAGGTAACAAAATCGAGGCAGTATCAATATGATTTGTGTGTCCTGTCACTGGATTTGAAACAGATGTATATTTTTTTATTTTATGTCTGCAGGTTATGTTCAAAGCAGGAAATGCATTCAAGAGGTGATTCGTTTTGCTGCAGAAAAGAAGCTTTTTCTTCTAGCTGATGAGGTTAGTGAATCAAGAGTTTTACAAAATATTCAAATACTGAAACCTGTGTAATGCAATTTCTTCCTCCTCAGGTGTATCAGGACTGTGTTCATGGGAAGGAAAGTGAGTTTGTCTCTTACAAAAGAGCTCTGGGTGAAATTGGGGCTCCGCTGTCAGACACAGTGGAACTAGCATCCTTCCACACGGTCTCGAAAGGCCTCATGGGAGAGTGAGTATGCAATCACACCATCTGACACATGTGCGCTTTTACCCAAACAAACACAAAAGCTCAACTTAAGAAAAATGAAAGTACTGAAGCATATAAGTGTTACTATAAGTATTACCATTAGTAGTAAGTGAGTCAAGAATATGAAGAAAATAAAAACTTAAAAAATAAAACAAACTTTTGACCTGCATTTTCTCTTTTTATAATGTTTACTCTTTTGGAGTGAGACGCAAGTTTTTCTTTCGTTGTTCACTCTGCCCAGACAAATGTCACTCCAAATATGGAAAGTGGCTGAACTCCCCAACATACTACTTACTGTATGTGATTGGTGACTCTAAACCCACTTTAATCCTTAATCTAGAGTTGTTTCTAAGAAAATACGACAGTGTTAATAAGTTATTACACCGAGTTAGCATTCAGAAACTCTTGGGAAAATGTTGTTTGTGTAATCAATCCTACGCAAACAAGCTGAACAAATGAATAAGTAGAACAAAATGTATAGATCTGTAAAGTATACACCACACCTTTCTGTGGTGTATACTTTGAAAGGTGTGGTGTAAATCTGCAATAAATAAATTCACATTGAGGATTTATTTGAGATTTTTACTTTAATTATAAAACAGCCAGGAATGTGTTGCATTATTGGAGAAGTGTAACGTTTACATATCCAAAATAAGACATCTTGTGTGAATATGCAAACATTCAGAAGGTGAGGGTACTAGTCTTTTCATCCCTTTGAATTTTCGTATTTTTATTATTTTCGTCGCTTTGTACTGAGTTGAAATTAATTAGAAAATACCAAGAGCTTAATATTTTCATCCATGGTTATTCATATCTCTGCCATATGAACAGCTTCAGTATGAACCACACTGATACCAAACAGACCCCCATACCACTCTATGCTCCACTCAAACTTCAGAAACATTTGTTTATAAAATTGCAGCTCATCACTAATTCATCCTACTATAAACTTGTGAAGAGGAATAGGTAGATTATCAGTTTAGATTGGTAGGAAATGCATAAAATATTACAATTTAGTGGCACGCCTTTACCTCACAGATATCTCCTCAGGCATTCATCATATCATTACACGTTTTGCAGTTCATATGAAAAAAAATGCTTAATAATAATTTTTTGAACTATGATTTTTAAGCACTTCATATAAGTCTGTTGTATTAGGTGTGGTCTACGGACTGGGTACGTTGAGCTTGTGAACCTTGACCCTACGGTAATGAAGCACATCGACAATCTATTCTCCACCAACTCCTGTCCCATTTTGGGACAGTTTGCCTTGGATGTGATGGTGAATCCTCCACAACCAGGAGCCCCCTCATACCCTCTCTATTTGAAGGTGAGATATTTTTATTTACCATAATGACTGGGGATACTAACAGTTCAAGCTGTTGGCATGATCTTCCATTGTGCAGGAGACACAGCATATCAGGGCCTTGTTAGCTCAAAACGTGAGGAGGGTGGAAGAAGTCATCAACAGCTTCCCTGGTTTTAGCTGCCAACCACTGGAAGGAGGAGCATTTGCATTCCCAAGAGTGTTTCTTCCTCCCAAAGCTATTGAGAGAGCCAAGGTTTCAGAATAAATGCACATTGAGCAATATAATGCAACTCATAATATACTGCCAAAGGTTCTTGTGTGTTTTGTTATGAGAGTGGATTTATTTGGATGTTTCAGGAGGCTGGCCTGGAACCGGACACATTTTACTGCATGAGACTTCTGGAGGAGGCAGGAGTGTTGTTTAGTCCTGGGAGTGAATATGGACAAAAGGAGGGCACCTACCACATCAGGTGAGACTCAAATTCTTCAATGTTTGACAAATTAGCCATTTTAAATTAACATAAAATGATTAAAGTTAACATCACACAGCACAGGTATTCACCACTCCCACTTGTCTCTGCAGATTTTGCATCATGACCCCCACAGACACCATGGAAGAAATACTGAAACGTTTGAGCGTCTTTCACAAACAGTTTATGAAGGAGTTTTCATGAAAACAGGAAAAAGTCTCTTCTGACATTGCAGTCAGTAAAAACAAAACTCATGCCTTCATATTGGCAAGCCATTTTATTGTTTTAATAAACAATAACAATGTTCTCAATTTCAATGACCCATCCTTACTAAGAGTAAAATATGCTTCATGATTTTGAAATTTTCCATGACGTCAAACCTTGCATGCAGAATATATGTATCTTTTAATCTACTTCACTTTCTGTGCCAGACATCTCAACAAAAGGGTTTGACTCTGTATTGTTCAGCAGCTCTACAAGTAACGAGATGAGATTTCCATTTTGAGAAATGTTAGCTTTACTGGGATTGTTGAAGTTGTGGTAGAGCATGGTCTGAATGGAAGTGCGAAGCTCCCAGAGAAGATCCCATGTCTGAACTGGGACCTCGCAGCGCACCAGAGACTGGCCAGGAAAAGATACCTCCACCATGTCGCCTTTTACTGAAACAGCAGGAAAAAAAGATGAAAACTTTAGTTCAAGTATGAAATAAGATCACCTTTTTTGACACCTAAGAAAAAACACTTATTAAATTAGAATATGCATTCTGATAAGCCTCATTTATTATATTTAAAAAGTACCTTTTAAAAACAACCTTTAAGCAGGTATCAATCATATTTCATTAAACCAACATTTCTCCATTAGAAATTCTAAATGTTGCCATTTCATAAGCAGTCAGTAGAAAATCAATTACCAAATCAAAGCATAGAGATAATCTTTTAATCAATGTGTGCATTTCTTTGTAAATTTGACTGATACAAACATTTTACAAATTTAATGTATTGAGACGTACCTGTATGTGTGACTTACAAACAGATTTGTTTAAAAGTTCTTGCAAATTTTAGAAGGTGAAGAAATATTTTTAAGCAGTGGATATTAGCCATCTTTAAAACGCAACCAGAAAAATTGCATTTCCTGTGAAAATGTTGTAACCTGAGTAAACTAACTGAAGGGGGATTTCATTCCAACAATCTTGCCACACTAGGACAAGACTTTAAAGAACTGGCATGTAGGTTTTTACTTTCCAAAAGCACACACACCCTTTGACAAAAAAAAAAATAATAATACAATTGTCTTCAAATCTAAAATGTATTGAGAAAAACGATTTCAACAGCTAGCTCCAACCACTCGTGCTCTCTACATGCACTGCGACAAACATTACCTGTCTCTGAAATGTCACAGTCAGTGAGCAGCAGCAGGGCAAGGGGGTGAACTGCAGAAGAGTCCCTGATGAAAACATTCCCGTTAGACTTGACCGCACTGAAAAAGGTCAGCCACCTGCTGGGGAGGTCCTCTTTGCCTCTGCAACAGAAGGGAGACAAAGTGAACATGACCATTATCACTTGGTGTCACTCTGCTGGGGAAAAGGTCTGAACATGATCAAACCTGTTCACTGAAGAGCGGTGAAGCAGCACCGGACCGCTGAGTGAGCGCAGAGCAAGATTTTTGGGACAAAAGCGCCCCCCTTTGGTAACAATGCCTTTCTTTACCTTTAGAAAAAAAAAAGGCAGCGGTATTAGGATGAGCCAGAATGTATGCAACATAATATTTATTGAGAGCAGAACAGTCTATCATTTAAATATCTTTTACTTGGAAATCTTGAGCCAAGCACAGTATGAAAGTGAAATGGACTAAATTTACTTGTTGCTTATTTTTAAGTTCTTTTACACTTTCACATGGATTCCTAGGCAACATGGCATTAAGTGCTTTGTGACAAAGGCACATTTCTATTTGATAGAGCTGGAATCAAACCCCAAATGTTTCCAATTGCAGGAATATTTATCTTATAGCAATTGCATAGAAGCACTAACAAAAGCCAGTATGCAGAGTTGTTTACCTGGATGAGGTTGGGATACAACCCAGCCAGCAGTACGGCCTTCAGCAGCTCGTCCTGATTGCTGTGCTCATTGTAGATAGAAGTCTGCTGCTGGCACTCACTGGAACGGGAAACCAGCTCTGCTTCCTGCAGGTTGTCACTGAACTGGGAAATGAGACCTGCCACAAGATGAAACAAGAGCAGGATTTTTATCAAACTGAAACTTTATTCCAAAAATCTGGAAAAGACTCATCTGAATGTGAGTGGCTCAGACAAACCATTGATAAATCGGAGACTGCCTCTGGACAGAGTGTATCTGTCCAAATAGTCATCTCTGTTCTCTCTGTTCCGCTCATGCTGGACTTTCCTCCAACCCAGAATCGCTCGACTGAACACCAGATAGTCGCTAAAGCTGGAGCCGCTCAGCTCCTCTTTGGCCTAGACAAACAAAGCACAATTACGGTAGTTAAGTCATAATAATCTTTTTCCAAAATTCTCTGGTGTTCTTTTAAAAAAAATTTTGCTGAACATATTTTCTTATATTTAACAGACTTGAAAAATACACACAGAGACTCAGATTGACCTTAGGTGTGTTCACAAATCATCAATATTTGCTTTAGTAGATCCAAGTGCAGTCCCTAATACAGTTATGCTTATCTGACTTATTATGATAGGTTTCTTCAAAGCTGCTACTAAGGGGTTTAAATATTATGAAATATTTAGCATTTTGTACATACGGTAAATTGAGCATCTAAACAATATTGTATTTATTTTTATTTCCTTTATTTGACCAGATAAACCCCATTGAGATCTAGATCTCATTTTCAAACAGGACCTGGGCAGAAGACTGCAATACACAACATCCTGGTTACAAAATAAAACCAATTATAAAACTGAGATCCAGAGATGAAACTCACAATTTATAATTACCTTTGTTACTATTTTTACCTTAAAGTAAAAAGAAAAAATACTTTCACAACAGAAACAAAATAATACATTTATTAAAAACAAAACTCACCTTTTTCACAAGAGTTCTGTTCTGCAGGCTGTTGAGGAATGGGTCTCTGGTGAGACAGGCAACTACAGACAACAGGGGCAGAACACACCTGAACATGGCACTCAGTACGAGGACTTTGCCCAGGCGTGGGTCACATGACATGCATGCGACACGCTCCCCTAAAGGAGTCAGGGTTTCTGTCTTGTCCAGGACTCCTGCCACAAATCAAATGATGTAAATGTGTTGTAACAAAGAGGTTCAGATATCAATTTGAACATCAATGTCACAGCAGATGTTTATGTGGATTTGAGTCCCTCACCGATATCTTGGAGGTTTTGGACAGCATCTCTCACAGCATGTGGCTCTGGACTGTCCAATACTTGGGACAGGAAGTCAACGGCCTGTTTATAAACACAATTTTTATATGTGTATATCTTTTTAAATGGTCATCACAAAAAATGGTTAAAAAAAAAGGCAGCAAGAAACATCTAAAGTACCTTGCAATTTGGACTGTGGATTTTAGCCTGCAGTACTAAACTCTCCAGTGGTGTGCGCAAGATTTCAGGAACAGGAAAGGGCGTCATGGATTCCAGCTGTTTCCTTGGGAACAGGTGGTACGCCTGCCCCGGCTGACAACGTCCTGCTCTCCCTTTTCTTTGTGTGACGTTAGAGCGAGATATCCAAACTGTGTCCAGACAAGAAACCTGCAGAAAAAAATTGTTTAGTTTTATCAAGAAAAATTGTTTTGGTTTCAGATTCCAACATGAAATACAAATTAAACGCATAAAAAAAACAACGACAACAAAAAAAACCTTTGTCCGCTGGTCATAATTCTGTTCCTTGTGAGTTCCTGTATCCACCACATGTACTATATCATTTATTGTAATGGAGGTCTCCGCTATGTTGGTGGTGAGTACAATCTTTCTCTGTCCAGCTTGGGGACGCTGGAACACCATCTGCTGGTCAGCTACTGATAAGCTTGAGTGCACTACAAAAAAAAAATAAATCAGAAAAGTCATCTTAGAGTTATCAATAACCCCCCAAACACCAAAACTTGTCTATCAATGTGTTCAGTCTTACACGGTACGATCATTTGTGAGCCTGGTGAAAAGTGTGGTTTCTCCTCCAGTTTTTCTTGAACCATCTTGATGTCCTGCCACCCAGGGAGGAAACACAGCACCGCACCTGCAGATGGAAGGGAAACAATGTAAAAATATGTCTGTGAAGCAAAGATATGAAACAAAAAAGATTATTCAGGCGAGTATGCATTAGTTACCTGGCTCTCCATGTTTGTCAATGTGCTCAATTACATCAGCTACTAAGTCCAGATCTGGTGCGGCCTCATCCGACCCCTCCTCAAACAAAATCAGATAAACATTTTTAAAGAAAAAGAAAAAAAAAATCTAAACGTAAACGTAACAGCTCTATAAAATTTCACCTTGCTTAATTCCACCCTGTTTTGGAACTTAGCCGAATGTCCCATCTCCTGCATCACATCCTCCAGGTACTTGTCCTTCACAGGGTGCATGAATCCCGGGACCTTTACAATAGGGCAGCCTCCAAAGTACTCTGCCAGCCTTTGGTTGTCCCCGGTGGCACTCATGAGAACAACTCGCAAGTCCGGGTTCTCGTCCAAGTTCGAGCGTAGCAACGCCAGCAGCAGGTCTGTGTTTACATCTCGCTCATGTACCTCGTCCACAACGACGTGACTGATTCCTTTCAGGGTTGGGTTGGACTGCAGCTTCTTCAGTAGGACGCCCACAGTGAGGAAGAGCATGGACCCGCAGCTGTTCTCCGGAGGGCGACTCTCAAGTCTCACCTATGCACAGAGGAATTACTGCGTCGGCGTTGGACATTACACTAGTTTCCTCTCACTACAGTAATTTCTTCCTGTCATTTATATTCCATGAACTGTGTTCACTTTGTATGATGTTACAACTAACATTTGGTTTGTAAGACATTACAAAACAAACTACATAATTATGAAGGGGAACATAAAGAGGTATGACATGTTTCTGAAATTAATGTGAGAACCAAACTTTAAGTGTTACTCAGTCTCAAATGACATAATTTTCTGTAACAATTAAAAAGAAATAGTACAAATTTATTGAGCCAGAAAAAGAAAACACTTTAAAATGAACCATTACCTGGTATCCGACATGGTGTTTCAGATGTGGCCCCATCTCATGAGCAACTCGATGAGCTACAGACACGGCACTGATCCGACGAGGCTGCGTGACAAGGACGTTGCAGTCTGCGCCCTCCCCATTTCTCACTTGTTCCTCCAGCAGAAACCGTGGGATCCGCGTCGTCTTGCCACATCCTGTCTCACCTGCGATCACAACCACCCTGGAGGAGCGCACGGCTGAGACCACGCGCTGTCGGTGAGCGTCGACAGGCAGCTCCACGCTGAGTCCAGGGTTTGCATTTTCCCACGCCTCCTGAAGCTGGCGACTGAGGTACCGAGCCTGATGTTTGGACATCGGCCTGTACGGCCTACCGGTGATAGCATCTGCAACATGGTCTTCTTCATCCTCTTCCTCCTCGTTTGCTGTCTGTTGTCCTCTTGCCTCTTCGTCCTCCCATAGTTTCTGTACTTCTGTTGCAACCGGGTACTGTGAGGAAAATAACTCAGAATGAATGGTTAGAGTTGCAGTATGCATCTTTCATAACCGATGTGCCATATTTCCATATCATGTCCTGACAGTACAATATGACACAGAAGATCTGTGGAGAAAAAAAAGAGGAAAAAAAAAAGAAGAAGACACGCTCTCCTGCTTTCTCCCTGGAGTCCTACTTCCATCTGCAGAAATCCCCACACCACAACCTGTTGTGAATGCCTAGGCTAGTTAGCATGGCTACTGTCCACACATTTGGCCTTCTTAATGCATGAATCTAAACAAGCAAGACATATGGAAAAGGAACTGACTTGTGTTAGGTAGTCTCTCATGCGTTGCTCCAAATATTCTGGAATCTCAAGTGGGAATGGACGCCTCTCTCTCTCTCCAGCCTCCTTTACTTTTTCTCGATGATACTTTGCATGAGTAAGTGGATTATTCTCTTCATCTAGCAGGTCACGCTCCTGCACCAAAAGCACGAGAAATATTTTAACATAATTATGAATTGCAGCTAAATGGACATCAGTTCATCAGATCTCCTCCCACCTTCAGCTTCATGCAGGCAAGTGCTGCAGCCTTTTTCTCTGCCATCACTCGGCTACGCGCCGTCGCTTCGAACATCATGCGCTCCGGCCAAAGTAGAGTCAGCTCGCACGTTTTTAGTTTTCCACCTGCTGTTCTGAAATGCATTAACTCCTGCAGGAAAAAAACAAACAAACATATATTCAGATATGAGGATTATACAAATGATAAGCTCCGAATGTAGAAATGTGAAAAACTTCGACTAACCCTGACTCTGCTGGATGAAGTGGCCACCTGGATCACTCTGGTCAGAAGAGATTTAGGTTGTGGAAAAAAAGAAAGAGCTTCAGAGACATTGGAGGCATCTTCCACAGGAGGGAACAATTCATCGGCTCTGGAGTTGGGAATGTTTGTCAGACAGTTCTCTTCAGGATCATAAAGATGGGAATGTAGCCCTCCTCTCATCCGGCCAGCTCTCCTCTTTGGGAGCTGATTGTTAGGACCAATCACACCCAATTCCTTTGGTAAAAAACAAAAACACAGGTACCATTTTTATTCAGAAACCAATTGTCTTCAGCAGATGCCCAATTTAGTTTGCCGGCGTATATTTTAATCTTAGTATAAATACAGCTGTTAAGTGTGTTTTACAGCCCACTCCTCCACCCAAAAAAACTGACAAAAAAAATGCAGATCTACGTGCAGCAAAAATTATACAGACTCAGAGAATCTGAAAACATGAGCAAACCACATATTGCAGATTTTTGGATTAAAAGAAATAACTTTGTTTTGTTTTACTTCCACTCCAGAAGTATGTTTCACGTCGTGTTGATCAATCACGCTAAAACCCAATAATATACACTGAGATTTGGAGTTGTAAAGTGAAAAGATGCGAACAATCTAGTGTGACAAATATTTTAGCAAGATATTGTGGAGCTCCTTTTGTTACTTTTACAGCAGCTTACCCTGAGTCTGAGGCAGGCTGCAGCAGCCGCAAATCGCTCTGCATCAATTTTCTTGGAAGCATAGCCCTCTTCTTTAATCTTGCTGGGCCACAGCAGCGTGACAGTGGCCTTCTGCAGGAGCATGGTTACAAAATACAATTGTCTCAAACACAAAAACCTCTACATGTTAAGAGGCATATGATGGGTGAAATCGAGAGGATTTCAGCTGACCTTGACACCAGAATGTTCTGTACAGGTGTACTGGATGAGCTGGGACAGATCATTCACTCCTAGTGACCGGGAAATGGTGTTGTTGAGGAGACTTTTAGGATCTGGAAACTCCTTCAGAAGATCTGGAGTACCATTACCTAAGAATTAAAAACAATGACAAGACACAGAGAAATGTTAACGCTGTTTGTCGGCACTTTAACCAAACCAACACACGTTGAAATATGATCTGAAAACTGGAAGCGGAATGATTTTTATCACATTTTTTTATGCTGGATGTCCTTGAGGTTATATACTGCTGCGACAGTCAACTATTAGCTAACCGGCATTTTTTTTACTCACCTCGTTTACTGTTGAAAAATGACGCGCTGTGTTCGTGAAACGTCTGCGCTTTTGACCCATGCCACCGCATTTCTCCGCTCCAGTTAAATGCCGTTTTCCCTGCGGTATGAGCACATTTGGCCACTTTGCAAAGCTCTCTCAGCCTCACGAGTAAGGTACCGGGCAGCGCCATCTTTAAACAACGTCTTCTTCTGCTTCTTTGGAGTGACGAAAGGGGGTAAGCTGTTTGTGGCGCCCTCTTCTGGGTGGATGTAAAACTGATTTACACACTCCGGTTCCTTCGTACTTTTTACTCAGAGATTATCCCTATATTGAGGTCGCCACGGATGCTGGTGCTCATCTCCAGCGGTCAAAGGTCAAGATTAATGAGAATAATTATTTTTAGGTTATTTATTGCCATTTGGGACTTTTCTCTAAGAGTGATGAGTGCCACTGCCACTCTTATGAAGAGGCACAATAGGAGCAGAGCAGCTGTTTAGTATTAAACTTTGGAAATGTAAATTTTTTCTAAGAACAAGATAGGGATATAAGTTGCAGGTGAAAATATACTCATGTTATAAGATATCCCAGTTTGTATACATGAAGGACAATTTAAACATTAAACTTATACTTACTTGATATTTTTATTACAGGGTCTTGTAAACTTTTAAATGGTCAGTCACTAAAACCACATAGTAGTGTAAGAAGGAAAACCCCAAATATCTAAGCTATTGAAAACATAAGTGGCAAGCTGCTTAGAGTGTCTGCAGTTTAATGGTAAACATTAGTCCAGCCACCTGCAGAATAGAAGGAAAACTCCCAGGGTGGGTTTGACTGGTCTTGTCTGGACTCATTCCCATGAACAGTGCTGTTTGATAAGTCACTTATCTTTGAAGAAAAAAGACAGAGATGGAACTGGGACTTGTTTTCCTGCTGGTTGTCACATCTGGTAATTTCAAAGTTAAAACGTGATCGTTCTGATTCCAAAAATCTGTGTGAAGCTCGCTATTATTTTTGAATTGGATCAAGATGAGATTTAACCTTCACTTAGGGTGTCATTTTAAACTTTGCCTTAATTTGCCTCTCACTTCTTCAGTGTCTGGGTGTGGCGTGCCCAGTTACTGGCCCAACACAAGTCGAGTAGTAAATGGAGAAGAGGCTCGTTTGTACAGCTGGCCGTGGCAGGTGAGTGAGTGAAGAGGGGGAAAAAATTATGACATACACAAAAGTAATGTGCAAAAATGAATTGTTTCTTTTTCTACCCATTAATATGATTTTATTACTTAATAATATTTAATCCACCGTGTTTGGGCATATTGTGTTTAGATATGGATTGTACCAGAGCTGTTGTCATCTGCTATAGAAATGTGCTACAAATATTAGCTTCATTGTTTTTTATTTTACCCTTAAGGTTTCGTTGGAGTCTTTTTACCCCACTTGTGGAGGAACACTTATTGCCCCAGACTGGGTCTTGACAGCCGCACACTGCATTACGTGAGAGTTTTTTTTTATGGCATTTGCAAGAGCTTACTGGCTATTTTGAAATGTTGTGTCAATTTTCTGACTGTTTATTATTTTCCAAATAATGAAATAAACAAAATATGCTACAATTTATTTATATCCAATCTGAAGAACCCAGCACGAGAAGGAGGTTACCTTTTGACTTTGTGAAAGTACTGTATATCCTCAACATAAATCAGGGAGCTTTCTAATCTTTTACTTTGGAAAGTATATACAACATTTTTGTTTCCAATCCAGATTCCATACATACAGAGTGGTTCTTGCTGAGCATGATATGGACAAGGAAGAGGGACCCGAACAGTCCATCATGGTGGCAAAAATGTTCATTCATCCCAAATGGAATGATAACTGTGTGTCTTGTGGGTATGTTCAACAATACAAAGTTTGGAGGAATGATTATTTTCTAAGAACTTTGGAAAATTACCAAGAATAAATTATATGTTTTCAGTACTTCACAGAGAACTCAGTTAGAAGGATATCTGGTTGGGTTTAAGAAATCACATCAGTAGGAAATAATGATGTAATTCACCAGAGCTATAATTTGCAAAAGACACTGAAATGTCAATATAACTAATGAAATCCACAAAAATTATACATTTAAATAGTTTTGTTCTTGTTCTGTAGGAATGACATTGCCCTGCTCAAACTGGAGAAAAGTGCTGACCTCAATGACAAAGTTAAGCCTGCCTGCCTGCCAGAGCACAGCTCCACTCTGACACACAACCAGCCCTGTTACATCACAGGCTGGGGTCGACTTTACTGTAAGATTTGCTGTTCACTCAGACTGTTAAATATGACATGGTTCTAATCATCAGTTTTTTTTTTTTTTTGGAGCATAATTTATGTTGTCAGTGTTTACAATGAGGGAGTAATTTTCTCTGCAGCCGGTGGACCCAGGGCAACTCGACTCCAGCAGGTGCTGCTTCCTGTGGTGGATCACAGCGTCTGCAGTCAAAGCGACTGGTGGGGTAGCTCAGCAAAGACGACAATGGTTTGTGCAGGAGGAGACAGCAAATCGGCATGCCATGTGAGAAACATCCAAAGAATTTAACGTGTTCATGTAACACAGACCGGTTGAATAAGAATCTTCCTGAAACCTGCAGGGCGACTCTGGGGGCCCTCTAAACTGTAAGGGTCATGACAACAGATGGTATGTGGAAGGAGTGACGAGCTTTGTTGACGGTCGTGGATGCAATATCCCTAAAAAGCCCACCGTCTTCACGCGGGTGGCTTCTTTTGTCCCATGGATCAGCGAGGTGAGGGAATCTATTCGCATAGTAAAACTTATCTGACTTTGGGGTACATACAAAGTAAAATGTTTACACACTGCTGCGAAAAAAAGATTGATGTCTTCGTTTTAATTTCGTTCTAAATGATCAAATTTTATTATAAAACAAAGTTTCACAGCTTTAAGACTATGGAACTGGTTGTGTCAACCTCTAATCAAAGCTCATTAATGAGTTATCAAAGAGCATATTTTCACATACAATCAGGGTGATTTTTCTTTTCACCTTTAAATTTTGAAGTTACCATTTAAAAATGGTAACGCTCTGTTGTACTGAGATTATATTTGTCTGATATGTTGACATTTAAGAGTGACACAAAATCAAAACAGAAAATTATTTTACTTTCACAGTAATGGATTTAATCATGTTGCATTTTCTTACAGACGATGGCCCAAAACTGAGGAAACCTTCAACAGTGGTGCAATACAGAACAATAAACAGTTTGATTGACTTTTTATTTTATTATGTTCATCACTGAAAACTTAAACTTATTATACAAGATATATAATATCCATTAAATTGCAGAATTAATTCTTATAATTAAATATAGGTGAAAAACTAGAACAGAATACATAAAAGCATAATCTGTAAACCCTTTAAGTTTAATAAGAGTGGTATTACTCAATTTCTGCTATACAGAGAAAAAAGTAATAGAAAAATGCAATTTACCCTTTAGACCATATTCTGAAGGGTAAATTTCTACTCTGATTATTTTGAAATAATCAGGGTAGAGAAAAAAAAATCTATAAACCTTCAGGGGCTAATTTCAATGGTTGCAAGCAAACTCTTGGAGTACAAAGCTTTGTAGATTTGGTCTTCAGCTTCACAATGGCTTGTGAGTAACTCAAACACTCAAGGGTTTGATGGTGTCCAGGTGAAGAAGTCAAAACCCCGGAGCTCCTCAGGCAGGTACTCCTGTTCCACCGGGCTGCTAAATTCTGGGTTGTATTTGTAGCCTTTAGCATAGCCCAGCTGTTTCATCAGCCTGGTGGGTGCATTGCGTAGGTGCAGGGGGACAGGAGGGAGGGGACCTTTGTGATTTCTCAAACATGCTTTTACATTGCCATACGCCTTATAGATCTCTATAGACTTGGGAGCTCGTGCAAGGTAGACAGCACATTGAGCAAGGATTACCTGAAAGAAAATGATAAACAATCTTTGTAGGAATGGTGGAAAATTAAAAAACAATCTATGATGGTAAGTAAGGCATGCCTACCTCACATTCAGGCATACCAATGAAGTGACAGGCTTGAAAGGTGGATACAGCCTGAGTGAGAGCGGAGGGGTCAGCCAAACCTGGAGGAGAAAAAGCAGCGAGACATGTGAAAATCAATCACATTTTATTCAAAAATCCAAAGAGCAGAAATAGAGGCATAAAAAAAACACACACCAAATATTAAGAATATTGATGTTCATAACATGAATAATTAAAAAAAAAGATTAGGTATGGGGGATAACAAACTGTGGAAAAGCACTTTGGAAGAATTCCTGTACTTATCTAGAAACATCTAGATATGTTTCTGTACTTTCCCAAATTCATAATTCCAGAGATCTTGCCCTTTTTAGTCATTTTGTTTTAAAACAAAATGTTATGGTGAATTTACAACAACTAGTTCAACAGAGGTCACGTTTTGAATATATGGATCAGAAAAATCTAAGGACAGACGAATTAAAGAACAGTGGTAAAGACTCAAAAGGGGCACAGATGGACGATTGGACAAACAGGATGGATGAGGAAAGATGGATGGATAGGCAAAAAGGCAAATGGTCAGTTGGACAAACAGGTAAACAAAACATTGAATGAATGAATAAAAGGATGGACGGGGAAACCATTGGAAGGGGCTGATTGAAGATAATGCTATAAATAAAATGACCTACCAACATCCTCGCTGGCGAAGCGGACCAGCCTGCGGGCCACGTAGAGCGGATCCTCACCGCCCTCCAGCATGCGGCCCAGCCAGTAGAGGGAGGCATTCTCGTGGGAGCCTCTCATGGACTTATGCAACGCTGAGATACAGTTGTAATGCTCCTCACCTATGAATAAATTACACACACATATTAACACATTAACACAAGTTTCCTCACCCTGTGAGGCAAGGAACAGCAAGTCCTTCAGACAGCTGAACATCAAAGGTCAACATGGAGGACAAACGAGTGATGAGACGTGATATGTAAATGGTTGGAGTAGCAACATCTACAATCTGAGGATTTTCAATACCTCATCTATTAATAACTATCGTGATAGATGTTATGGTGTTTATGAGGACATGGGGAACTACTAATCTCTGCCACAGTTATGAAGGGGCCAAATTATACAACACAGCATGACAAAAGCTGAACTCTGCAATGTTATATAATTAGTTTTGTAAAGGGCACTGATGTCCTCATAAATATGAATGATAATGTCAAGTATTAGGCATAAAAAAACACAAAAAAGTGGCCTCAAAGCTTTATTTGTTTGTGACTGCTTTAGTGCCTGCAATTGGATACATTTCTAGAAAAAGCTCCATAAGGATCATACAAGTATCACAGATAAGCCCAAAATGAGCCACTGTAAGATATTAATATTACTTTTAATTACAGAATAATTGGTCAAATCAAAAGGTTAGTGTAAACCTAAACCTGATAGAGTTATGACAACATCTGGCCTTAACTTGAAGATGTAACATGACAGGGCTCTTTGGCTAAACAAAACATTGTTACATGCATCAGATTTAAATATCCATTTGTTTTTTTTCTTCAACAACTGCCATTTTTATTTTTCAAATCTCTAACTTGTAAAGTAGCTAAATTCATTTCACTGCTACTACAATGTTAAACACTTTTGCAATTCATTGCTAATTTATTAACACTATTAATTTCTTGGATTGTAATTTAAAATGTAAATCAAAGATTCACAGTAAGTCAACAGATTTTGTTAGTTTGAGAATAAATTTTTGTTCTCAAACAAACCCTAACCTTAACCTTAACCCTACTGTCAAAAAACATTAAATATAATATCCTAGAAATTTTTCCAAAATGTGTGAAGGCTAACCATAGAGATATTTGAGGTCAATTACCTCCCTCTACTTGCAGAAAGGTTTGCAAAAAAACCGAAGATAGCATAACAGTCAGCAACATTTCTTTGCCAAAGAGCATAAAATTGCTGTAGAACACTACTTACAATGCTAAACTGCATGTTAACATGATGTAATCAATATGTGTTCTTAATTAAAACGATAATTTCTCTCGGTGTGCCAATAACAACTGCAAACTCCAAATTTAAAGCGGACCTTTCTAAATGCAGGAAGGAATAACAAAAAGTTTGATACTTGGAGCAAAGACACTCGTTCTTTCTCCAGTGACTCTAAGCACGTATGAGCTCACCTGCTTTATCATAGAGGATGTGGGACCTCTGGAGACCCTCCTTGATATGCTCCTCTGTCACCACAATCTCTTGAGGAAATCCGTGTTGTGTTGACTGGTTCAGTTGTGGGGATTTCATCTGAGCTTGAACAGCCAGCTGGAGACTATTGAGTCCAGTTCTTGCGTCACCATCACAGAGGTAGGCTATGGTGTCCAAGGCTTTCTGCTCTATGTATATAGTTGGTCTAAAACAAGAATACAGAAAATATATAAAGCATCAGAATATGACAGACTTTAAATAACAGATATTTCACTTTATGATTGTTGCAGTGGAAGTTCTTGTCGAAACTAAAGATTTTTCAAATTGCATCGCCCTTTATAGACACAAGGAGTCATGTCTATAAAGCACTTTAAAGTAGTTTCATGTGGCTAAGATGTAAAAAAAAGTACAGTACTATTATAAACACAGACAGTGCTAACTTCCTCTAAAATAAATCTCAAACTAATTAGAGTGGGATGCAGATATCTTGAAAATTGAAAGTATTCAACAGGAAATTACAAATTTAAAGCAAGCTCTTCTAGTAAAGAGAAAATTATTAGGAGAGACTTTCATCCATTATAGGAAAAATCCCTTTCCACCAATAGCTTTATATACCATGACAACCTATGTGTTTTCTAAAAATATTAAATCATTTTGAATAATATAGAAAAATCCATGGGGGAAAAGAAAGACAAAAACTGATCTAAATCAACGGTGACCGAAAAATAGCACTTACTCATAGCTACTGGTCTCGTCTCGATAAGAGGAATTTGTTGAATCTTGTCCTTGGACTTGGATCCCAAGTGCGGCCACTGCCCTGTTCAAAATTGAGCCCATTGCCTCGACCGACAGCTTCTCCAGAACCAGCACCCTGCATCTACTCAGCAAAGCAGCGTTCACCTGGAAGGATGGATTCTCAGTGGTTGCTCCAATCAGAGTGACGGTACCGCACTCCACATGAGGCAGGAAGGTGTCCTGGCCATACAAACAAAAAGTGAAAAAGAAGAAGTTAACTTAGATGAAAATACAAAACCTGAAGTAGTCTAGCACCTGATTTATAAGTTTGGATCAACAAATAAAACAAGTAAAATAAATAAAGTGACTTAATTGCTATGTTTAGCCTTTTAAAACATCTAATATTAAACAAAACCTTACATGAGACGATCAACAGCACCAACTCGTGTGTTGTCACTTATGCTACACACAAAAATGGAGCAGGAACCATATATTCCTTTCAAAATACCAGTTTAAGTGAGAATCAACAGTTTGTAAGTGGCAGAGCAGTTTTTAGAAAATCGAGCAATTTAATAATAAATTATCAGAGATCAAATAGATTTAATATGGAGTCCCACAGGGCTCATTGTTTGGATCCATACTGTTTGTGAAGAATCTATGAAACTAAAACGACTTTGTTGTAGTTATTGTACCTGCTGGGATTTGTTAAAGCGGTGAATTTCATCAATGAACAGGATTGTCTTTCTCTTGCACAGCCTGAGCTCATTCTGTGCCTGCTTGATCACCTCTCGGACTTCGTTGGTGGATGCACTGGTGGCCGACAGTGTGACAAAACGAGCCGATCCTTTCTTTTTACTCGTGCTGGCAATGATGTGGGCTAGGGTTGTCTGAAGAAAAAAAAAAGAAAGAATTAATAAAGCAAGTCAAGAAAAAACACACGACTTGACAAATATGGAAACATCAAATGAAACCGAGGCGTTTATTAGATGAACATTCATTCATAATTTTATCATTTGCAAAATCTATAGATTTAATTATATTTTGACATATACATTTATGATTTTTTTTTAAAAGAAAAGTTAATTAAAAATGTAAACAGAGACACTCCAATAGAATTGGTATTGAATTATTAGCAAACACTAAAATTAAAGCCTACTCACATCCATTTAGAATAACAATGGGCTAAGCTTATCACTTGGAATAGGAAAGACATATAATTTATCTCTTATTGCTGAAGTTAGAGGAAAGTAGTAGTTGCTTTGGGTTATTGGAGGTGCAGTATATTAGGAAAACATTGAAATTTTGCACATTGATATAGCTGTGCAATTAAACAAATTGGTGATTGAAGAAAAGTTCCATCCTAAGAGATGCTTGTCACCTATAACACCAAATGGAGTGAAGATGGGATTTTTTTCCCCTGAAGTTATTGATTTACTTTCTACTCGATGGAAGAGACAGATTAAATAATTGTATGATATACTATGGTGTTGCACCAGTGTGAATGTATCCTATCGCTATCACCTGCACACCTTTCCACATCCCGGTGGACCCCAGAGAAGAAGAGATGGGATCTCCTGAGATTCCAGAAGCGACCGGATGAGAGTTTGCTGGCCTACAACTTTGTTCTGGCCAAAGTAATCCTCCAGCGTGTTCGGTCTCAGAACCTCCGCCAGAGGTTTGTTTAATGATAACAGGGTCCGTGCTGGTAAGTGATTAATGTTCTTCTCAGCTTCGCTGTTTGGCACAGATGGAGTCTCTGTCCCTGTTGATCCCGACACAGTCAATACACGTTTAGTTCCCTTACTAAAAGCACTGACTGGACTTCGCTTGGCCGCACTTCTCTCAGGCTGAGCGTCAAGTTTGTCCTTGTTGGCTTGAAACAGAGAGAAAACCGAAGAAGAGGATTGTGTCCCAGGCATGGCGGAGGAGAAGGAGGAAGCAGAGTCGTTGACAGGCTCCGAAACGCGCACTTTCTTCACTGGAGGCCCACTCACAGCAGCGGTGGACGGACTGTCAGCAGCGCTGCTCAGCAAACATGTGTCCAGATGTCCGTTAATTGCTCCAGGTGTGAAGTCTTTGAAACAAACAGGACATTGAACTGAGTTCGAAATTGCCTCGTCCGCCATGTTGGTTCCCGCGAATTGTAGTTCACGTGACCAAAACAGTGGGTACTTCGGGATGATGACGAAACGGCGTGAGATCAGACCGGGGTCGTAAATTAACCGCGTTTAACTTACACCCGGGGACAAATGGTGCGCATTTTTCTCTGAATACATAAACTCAAATACAAGCAAGATACTGTCTGTGGTGAATGACGAATGATAAATCTGCTTTATTTAATTATTTTTTTTAAAGAATTCGAATTCCCTTTATATTATATTATATTATATTATATTATATTATATTATATTATATTATATTATATTATATTACATAATAGCCTACCTTCATTTCAAACAAAATTGTCCATATAAAAACAAAGAAGCTTTTGTCTTCAAGCAGACAAAACAATCACAAAATCGCACTTGTTCCAGTGTTCATATAAGCTTGATGTGTACCTTAGTTCACCATATAACTGCCATAGCTCTTACTTACTTTCTTGACAAATTCAAACTGCACATCAATGAAACATGCAGTTCCTCCTTAAAGGCATGAATAGTTGGGAGAATACTTCATACATTTGAATTGTAGATCTCCATCCTGGAAGCCTGAGGAAGATTTTAAATTGATCTTTAAAGAAGAAGGTCAAAGGTTTTGAAAAAAGACCACTTTAATTAATTGGTATAGCGTACATGTAAAATTTACATGCTAACATATTAGATTACATGAAAATGTATATCACTCTTGCTTCACATCTTCATCCCAAGTATCACTTCTTAAAATATGATTTAGTGTTTCAATACTCAGTCTTTTAAATAAAAATCTGGAACATTTAGGTTCTGTTCCTTTTTAGTTGTATAGCAATCAAAACACTTGTTATTAAAGGTTGGGTAGTATGTATTTTCCAGGTGTTAAAGGAATGCAGCCGTTGCTTTGTTACCTTCAGTTGTTATGAAAATTATTTGTTGCAGAAACAAAAATAACTTCCGACGCACCCCTTCACGGTGACATCATAACAATGAAACAATGATAAGGTTAGCCGAGTATTGCTGCTGGTGCTAGTCTGCTGGAGATGTGTATGTATGAGAGGCCTGGGAGATTGGTGGTCTGTGGGGCAGGAGTTCGGATGGGGACTGAAACTCCACGGTGGAGCTTTGAGGCCTTAGCCGGCACATTCTGGTGGCCAGTTTGGTATTTGTGGTTGTATTAAAATAGTGCAAGCTGATTATTTACAAGCATCTTCGACTGCCTTTGCTGACAGAAAGACAAGAACAGAAATTATTTTGATTTTTCTTAAAGTACTAAATTAAGTATTTCAGTTCACAAAGTTTCTGTTTGCATTTAGAACGTAACAGTTACAGGCTAACATGAAATGAGGATGGTGAAACAGCTTGTGTCTCCGACACTCTTTGCTGGCACCTGTCACTCTTTTATAACAAGGACATGCTGACCGTCCTTTGGCTACAAAGTGTCAATTGAAGTGGCTAGTTGACTGAATTAACAGAGGCTGTGGAGGATAATCTACTTCTAATGAGGTGTTCCTTACTCTGAGGAGGTACTGACATCTGCTGCTCTTGAAGCTCCTGTGCTGAAACTCCAAGGAACCCTCTTAGATAAAGATAGAAGGTAAAGGAAGGCCAGCGATAGGATGAGAGGTAGACTGAAAGTCATGGAGAACTTGGTCTCAGTGGGAAACACTTGGCTAATCAACAGCATGTGTCTGGTTATTTCCTACCTCTGGGGCAAACTGCGCGATTTACTCTGCTACAGGAGGAGGCACTCAGCATTTGCTGACCAGGTACTTACTTTGACACATAAAACAATATCAAACATTAGCAAAAAACAAAACAAAACAAAAAAGTTAAAAAAAAAATTTTTCTCCTCTTTTAACCAAGCATGAGTGCTGTCAGTATTAACCACATACTTTTTTTTTTCTCTGAGAATTAAGTGTCTTATTACTGTTTATGCACAATGGACTCCTTTAAATATGAGATGTTGGGAATATAATAATTAATTTTATTTAATTATGTGGTAGACCTATGTTTGTTTTAACCGCATATTTAATAAATCACTCTCACATTTAAAAAAAAATCCACTTTTTCACTTTTTTAAATTAATACATTTGGTTAAAATTTATATAGACTGCTTTAATAATTGCGGCAATATCTTTCAATATGTCTATTGTTTGCCTCAATAAATTCATGAATGCTAAATGTCAAATATTATTGTTGTGTAGCTGCAGCTCAGAACAGAATACGTTACTCAGATGTGTTCTCAGCAGAATTTAAATAAAAGCTCAAGCAAAGTATATTATTTCTATCAAATGAATATCCATAAACATTTGTAAAATATTAGAGATTCAAATGTATCAGTCTTGTATTTTAATGCACTTTGTTTCAATGCATTAAAATGTATTGTTTTCTAAATGGAATTATATTGTATAGTCACATTGAATAAATTATAATACTCTTGAAATGTCAATTTATTTCAGAAACAGTTCAGTAAGTGAACATCCTTACGCCAACACATATCTACTGATGCTTCCAAACCTGAATTTCTGTTAATTTTTGATTGATTGTTTTGATTGCTATACTGGTGTCTTAGCTTACAGCAAATACAATCTTGCATTACATTAGAATATTACATCAGTTGAAGAAGAAAAATGTTTATACAGAAATTTTGGTTTAAAAGCGCCTGTTTAATACCAACTTTTTTACAAGGTACTTTCAATCATAGAAACAAGAATCCGAACAGATATTCTAATTTATTAAACATGACTCGTATCCAGTGAGACATTGTTCAATCATCAAAATTTTAATTAAATATACAACATACTCTATTTATATATTTAGCTAAATATATAAACAAAAAATATATAAAATATATAGATATATATAAATAAAGTAGTTCCCTTAAACTAATAAAAAATCAAGGATGAAACTAGCCAGGGAAGCTGCTGAGAGGCAAAAATTTTTGCAGGTACATCCAACAATTATTGTTTGTGTTCTCCATGTGACAACAATGTCCTGTTCTCCACATTATGATTACACTTCACAACCAGAATGTCATTCCTAAAATAAAAGATGTCAAGGTAAATTCCAGTATGAATAGTTTTAAAGACAGCATTGGCCCCAAACTTTCAGGTGTCTCATTGAAAGCTGAAGGTCAAGAGGGATTCATTATGTTATAGATTTGCATAACACTTGCAAGGTCGAGTGAACAAATATTGTAATACATGGGATGCTAACGATTTATCCCAGTCTCTGTTTATTTTGAAAAACCGTAGCATCTCTTTTTATGTTCTACATCTAAATATCATAATTATTTGAATTAGTTTGGACAACACATGATGAATTATTGTCTCAGTGATGGGAATATTATTGTTTTTGCTTGAAAAGAACATAACTGGATAGTATTACATGGTAGCAGTATCGCTGTGAGTTGTGGTAGTTTCATTGTAATTTTGCACATGCCTGATAACCTCTCGTGGGTCTTTTCAAGCTCTAGTGAAGCTGTTTTTGCTCCCATCTAGTGGGTGTTGTCGTTTAGCGTTTTCTTTAACATCGGTTACGAACAGATCTGACAGATCATCCACAGATGGTTTTCTATCAGACATTTGCTTTTGATTTCAGCAGCTCCTGATAATAAAATATTTTATTTATTATGTTTTCTTTTTTTTCTTCTTTGTTAATAATATGTGACCACCCTACAGTTGAAAACACCAGAAAATTAGAAATAGGTCTTCCAGGGAGTATAGAAATATAAGCTGTCATGTATCCAAGTCTGATTATAAATACACATGCTGTGTAGTTTTCTGTAATACTGGAATGGTTTACCTTAGAGGCTAATTGAGCTCTCTCACCCTCTCCTTTTTCCATTCCCCTCTTGAAATCCAGAAGATCCACCCATGATGTTTACTGTGGAAGAGCCACAACTATGTAACTAAGCTTTATTTGCTTTCTCATGCTGACTTTGACACCATTTGTGGCATCTTCAGCAGATAGCTCCTCCTAAAAATTTTTAGAGCTAAAGACTTTTAGAGCTATATTATTCATCCCGCAGGTTAATGGCAGTAATCCTTTAAATTAATGTGTTTGTAACTGTGCAAAAAAAAAAAAAAAACTTAGACTCCTTAATTGTACCAGTAAATATTTTCTTTTTTTTATTTTTGTGCATGTATAAATTGACCCGTATTAGGTTTGCCAGACTAACCAACAAATAAGCTGGACGAATTTTAACATGGGTCATTTAACACATCTTTCTCACCCTGTTTGGTGCTTCACCTTATCTTTGTTTCAGCATTCTTTTTTATTTTTTTTTTTTACAAAATCTAGACATTTTAATGGAAATGTGTTGTCTGACAGGTTTTTATTGAATGATTAAAGTACAAAGCAAGTAACTCTTCATATTTCACTGCAACACTGTAATCAGAGGCCACGAGAGCACGTGAGATGAAAGAGAAAGAACTCCAGGGACTCCACTCATACTTCAGATCAGGGCGCTTGAGTTTCATAACTGCCGCAAAAACATTTCAGACCCTGACGTTTCTGAGGGAAAGTGTATCTAGAGCAGGGAGAAGTGTGAGTGGAGACATAAGCAGAGGTGGCTGGACAGTAACCAGACCGCACATGTCCCCCAGAACTCCCCGGGACATTGTGTTCTCTGCCAGGGAGGTGGTGCTCCATTTTTAACAGCTGGCCTTGTGTGGTTGCCAAGCAAATGCTTCCACATGGGTCATGTAAGTCTCAGTGATAGAAATATAAATAAAAATAAAACATGTTTGAGCTCAAGTGAAGCCTTTGCACAGCATCCATGACTGTTTTCTTTAGTGAAGTTATATGTACAAACTGTCTCAGTGGGATTTATTTATAGTGTATTAATTTTGTTGACATTTATTATTTGTTATGTTTAATTATTTATGTTTTCTTCTTTTTTTATTTAGTTTTTTTTTATCATGCTAGAGAAAATAATTCTCTAGCATGCTTGTAATTGTGGTGGAAATTATATATCAGTTAGCAACACAATAAAAAAAAAAGTCTATTATTAAGAATTTCAGAAACTTTGTTTAGGTTTGTCTTTAACTTTTGACATAAATGTATATTATATTTATAATATTGTATTTTGTAGAACTAGACAACATGATGTAAGAATTGTCACAATTTTACCAATGCAGTTTATATACTGGTGGTGTGTACTCTAATTTGTGTTTTAAATTTGTAAGTTTTGCTGTGTTAATGATGGATCAGATTTTATGTTTAGAGCTATTTTCAAACAGTTAAACATTGCAAAGGACTGTACAGAGGCCTGTACAGAGGTATTAGGCAAAAAAGAAACATTCAAGTGAATAATTACAGATGAAAATACTAAAAGAATGCAGTTAAATAAGAATAGGTATTAGGCAACTAGAATAAAATGTCATAGAAAATGTAAACCATAATACAGTTAAATTTGCTGTGAAGAAACCTCAAAGGCAGCATGTCCTAAACGAAGCCGGAAATGAAAATGACACAAAAACACATTTCACTTTTGATTGAATTAAATATATTTAAAAGTCTAATTAACATTTCTATAAAGTCATTCCCAATTAAAAGTTACCTATAATATGATAAACAGTTAAATATAAAGAAAGTTAAACAACACAAAAAAAATTCACAATCATCTGGATTACAAAAGAAAAGTGGTCCTCTTAGATGTTTAAAGATTAACAACAGTTTCACAATTCTATTACTGAATTAAACTGTAGTTTTAAATACCTGTATTCTATTCTTGAATTAAAAAAAAAATCTATTGTATTCAATACGCCTAAACCTTGATGTATGCTAAGTTTGCTTTTTTTTTGACAATTGTTTGTATTTTAGGATTTAAATCTAATAAACTTGCTTTCATCTTCAACTGAACATTATCTCATGCACTTATTAAGATATTTCATCTCCCAGTTTTTTGTGGCTTTATTCGCTTCCAGCATGAGCTTCAGAGATTTGAAGTGTTATTTGTTACTCGCAGGTTTAGACAATCTTTGGGGGTCCCCTAAATTTAACTAACACACATGCATGCTGCTATTCAAGTGTTTATTGTAAACCTTTACTAATTCATTAAAATTCACCCTTTTAAAATAATATTTTGAAGTTCTTTGAAGATTTCTTCTTGTTTTTGTTAAAAAGTGTGTGTTTCAGACACACTTTCCATATCCTCTACAACAGTATGCTGGAAATGACCTACACAGTCTGTCATCTGCTGGCATTCAAAGACAGGTGTAAGCATATCTTTTCCAAAGTGATTAATGACTGGTTTCTGTCCATCTGTTTATGCCTCGTCAAAGGAACCTGTGCTTTCTCCAAGCTATCTTCCTAGAAAGTGCATATTTTCAAGTAAAAAAAAGAAGCAAACTCAGTTATGTGATGATTAAAAAAAAAACTTTCTGGACATCTAAATGTTCTTATTGTAGACACAGAAAAAATGACAGAGGCAAATCTGAATTTGAATCTAGTTCCTTCCTTTCCCTCTCACTGAACCTCTCTTCAAGCCAAGACATGGGTGTGAGTAACTGGCATGAGCTGAGTTTGGCATGGGTCATCTTGGACCAGTTCACAGTCTGTGCTTGTGTTGTCAGAATCATTACGATCTCTTCATGAACGAGTCTGTGGGAACACAAGAAGAAAAGGGAGCTGGATGGAGAGGGAAGTCAGGGGGAGTTCAAGAAACAACTGTCTATGTCTGTCCGTACATCTGACACTAGTGTAGTCTCGATAAATCGTAGTCTCGATAAATCATAGATCACTTAATTTGAGCTATAAGGCATATGGATTATGATTATGTTACACAAGGTCAGTTAAAATTAATTCTTTTCTCTCTCCTATGGGAGGTTATCAGAGGATGTTTTTGTCAGAGAGTAAGCACATCATAAATCATCTGTGTCACCCATCTCTTCTTTCAGCCTGAAGGCGACATGTCCAACTGTAGGTCAAGCTTCTTTTCAATTCCCTTGACAGCGAGTAGATGTTACAAGCAATCCAGAGATCCTTTCAGGATTGCTTTTACAATAGCATAACACTACTGTAAATATGTCCTTGCTTTTCAGGTTGAACATTACAGAGAATTTCTGTTTTTACAGAAAAGTCTGCCTGTTACGATGGATCTGTAGTTCACCTAAGAAAATGCTAATCACTAAGCATTTTCTTACTTGTTCGGCACAACAAGTACTGTGTACAGTGATTATTTTCACACCTACCAAGCAAGTGCACGGAGGTGGGCTTAACAGTTGAAGCCTCTCAGATGTCTCATAACTCAACCACTGCCAAGCTCCCTCCCAAAACATTTGAAGCCTGCTGACGTAGGCCGGCCATTTACTTTTAGCCCTCCCCCCAACTCACTCTATCTTAATACCATATCATGAGGAGAAGACCAGAGGGTTGACTTCATAATAGTTCTGATTGCTTTAATTATCTTGCAGTTTCAAAGATTTAAAATCTTTTGTGTTTGAGTGTTTTCCTGCTGAGTTGTACCTAGAATATTTTCTGGATTCCTTTTCTAGCTTTCTCTTCTTTTCTGTAGAACTGGCAGCGATTTCAGTGAAAGTATTTTTGCTTGTCGCACGGACTTTACCCAAAAAGTTTTTATATCAAGTTGGTGTCTTGAGGTAACTATTGTATCACAGGAAACTATGAGTTCCTTAGTCATAAATGCAATGGGAGACTCCAGCAATGCAGGATTTGATATAATCCAAAACCGCATTGAATCCTTGAGTGGCAAGATGGACAAACTCATCAATCTTCAAGAAAAGGTCCTCAGTCGACTGGATGGGATGTCACAAGAAATCGATGACATTGAACAGGATATGGAGCAAATCAAGGTGGACAAGGAGGAGATCCATCTCTCCCCAAGGGTGGTGAACCAGACCCAGGTGATGGGACGGGAGGTGCGGCTGATCTGCCAGGAGATGAGCACCATCATGTCTGTAGTCAACCAGCGGTCTGAGCAGCAGGCCCAAAAGCTGGAAGGAATGGAGAAGCTGGTTCTTAGCATGCAGCAGGTCATCAGCTTCATTGGTGAGACGGTGAAGCGTTCAAAGGTCATGGAGATGATGTTCAAAGGTCCAGCAACTCGGAAAACAACCAGGAACAAAGACAGTAAAGGGAAACAAGCAACCAAAAGGAAAACATCCACAGAGACGGTTACAAAGAAGCCTGACAAGGTGGGAGAAGCTAGAAAATGCTAAGTTTAGAGCATTACTACACATTGCCAAATTTTGGGTGATTTTGGTCTTAATCAAAATTGAATTTTGGCATTTACAGAGTAGCTTCTGAAGTGAGGTTAGAAGATTTTTATGCTTGAAGGGGTTCTACATACCCATTTATTATTTTCATCTCATATTTGTCAGCATTCCACATGCAAAGCATAATGCTGTGGAAATTACAGAGATAAAGTTATAACTCAGCAGTTTCTGCTTTTTTTTTTCTTTTTCTTTTTGGCAGGACAAGTAAAAATGATCACAGCACCAAAGCTGAACAGCCTTGTTTTTGCTCATTAATGAACTTTAGCTTTAGGGTTTTTTTTCTATATAATTAGCTGGTTTAAAAGGTCACTTCTGGGTTTTGGCATGTACATACTTTCAAGATATATTTAAAGGGTAAAGCAATAAAGATAGTGTATGCCATAAGAAAATGTTGCTATTGCACAATAAACATGATACATATATAAAGTCCCCATTTAACTCACGTTTATGGCTGCTGGCTCCCTTCTTGTGCTTGATGCAACATGGCCTCCTTTGCATGAGGCACAGAGGGGCACAACCTGGCAGCACCAGGATAAAGCCAGCATGAAGCCTAGATCGAAATACAAGTGGCCTGCGGTTCATTTTTTGATTGGAACAGTGGTATTTTTTTTACCCCCCGGCCCTGTCTGCTTACCATGTGTCAACGTTTCATGATGAGTCAAATTTCTCACCTTCTCTCTTTTGGTCTTCATTACTCTCACTCACTCAGATTTCTTTGTACATGTTGTGCTTGCACTTCCAGTCTCAGCTCTCCATAGTGCCACAGTTAAAGCTCTGCTCGCAGTTTTACGGCATATCTGATGAATCTGATTACTTTTACAATTATTGGTTTTATTAAAAGCTGGCAAGAAGAATGGCATGGTTAAAAGACCAGTATAAGAAGACCAGAATGGGGAAGAAAATGCTCTGGTCAGAGGAAATCAAAATAAAACAGCTCCCACACATGCAAAATGCAATGTGTGGCAGAAAAGCAATGCTGATCTCACCTTGACCACACCATCACCATGATAAAACATGATAGTGGCTGCTTAGTGCTGTGGGGACAGGGAAGCTGATCAGAACTGTTAGGAGGATGACTGGAGGTTCACCTTCCAGCAGTACAACAACCTTAAAAATACTGCCAGCCAAAGCCAGCATTTTAATGTGTTCAAAGTTCATAAAGTATCTAAATAAGAATTTGAGGCCAAACTTGAAAACCTTGATTGAGACAGAGTTATTTTGTAAATAATCAGCATAAACATATTTTTTTACTGTCATAAAGCTGCTACTCCAGAACACTTACAACAAAAAGAAGTTCTACAACATCAAAAGTGGTCTTCAGTATGATATTACAGAGGATCCACTTAAAAGTACCTTTCAATGTGTCCTACATATGTAATATATTGCACTGCATTTCATGAATGGTATTTAAATTTCTGGAAGTTAAAAGGTGTAAGCATTATACAATGTCTATTTTAAAAAAAAAAATCTTTTACGCAAAAACACTTTCCCATTGCACTGAAGTCACATCCAAAGCTGACCTGGGCTTTCTGTCTTTATTATCTGTGATTAAGCAGACTGTGATGACTCTGTTAAAGGGTCACTAAGTGCTATCTGGCAGCAGCCGGCACTCAGATGTGCACACTGCTATCCCTTACATAGCTAAAGAGGTTATGGTTTTCTTTTAAGTTAGTCAGATGAGCAAAGCAAAATCTGACCACATTGGCAGAAGGAAGTGTTACTGTATGTTGTGGGAGTAAAAAAAAATAAAAAAATCTTCCCAATGTACTTTTCTTTGGTGAACATTTATGACTGCCAAGTAATCTGAATTATTTGTGGGTCGTGTTTCAATGAATTTCCATTGTCGTCAGAGTGCTTGTCATCCTATCCCACCTCCAGAGGTGTGAAATATTTAACATTTATTTCATGTTACTTTGGTCTCAATATGCACTCCCTTGTTTTCCAGTTACATTTCTATACCCCACAACTGTCTCTAAGTGAACCTTGACACTAGCAACATATCCCCTCTCAGTTAACTTCATTGTTGAAAAACATATGTGGGACACCTCAAGTTCAAGATGAGTTTCTTTCCGTCTCAACCTGATATCAGAGTGTTTAGTATCATCGATTCAGCTGGGAGATTTGGAGAACAACCTGCAATCGCTTGTAATATTTTCCACACAGGGTCAGCATCACATTCCACTGTTGAGTGCGACAAGTGATAAGCTCTATTTTCACTGTCCTGCTGCTACCTATCCATCAGCCATGAATAAGCAGAGGCATGTCATTATATAAGCCAGTATGTGCATGTTGATGTCCAGTAACTGTGGCTGCAAGTCAGTTAGGTCTTTACAATTTGTCATATGGTGTTTATTGAAAGTGTGACTATGTTTTTGTGAACATCAGCCCTTTGTATCAACTTTCATATTAACAAGTTTTTTATTATTTACCTATACAATTACTTGTATATTACTTTTAGTCAGTGCTGTGAAAAAGTATGTTACAGATTTCTTTCTGCTTTCATGCGCATTGCTGTATTTTTTGAGACAGTATCTCACTTGTATTCAAGTATTAAAGTATTAACTTATCTCTCACTGCCACTGAGCAGCAGGGTGTAGCTCGGTGAAGGTTGGTACGCTATAGTCCCTTCTCCATTATCAGGTTTCACTCTAATAGTTTCTAGCTAAGTTGGGTGTGTCTCCATTAGCAGTGTGTTTCTAACTATAGGTGCGAATCTCAGAAGAATGCGTACCTGAATGTGGAAACTTAGGTTATGAGAAAAGGAGTTGTAGTGACTGATGATAATTTTCTGATGATGTCAGTTTGCACATGTGACTTGCCAGATCATTGCCTTCCTGGGCAATTCTGCTCGAAAAAAATCTTGCACAGTCTGGGCTTTCTCCCTTTGACTCGGATTGTCTCCGGTAAATTTTTTTTACTGGGCCAGTCAGCCAACAGAAGGAGTAGTTGTGAATAACTATGCTGTTTCAGAATTGCAATCTGTCTCTAGTTTTAGCAAATGCAGTGTAGGAAGTGAACGAAGCAATTCAATCTGTCTTGGCCATGCTTCCAAATATTGAAATGACGTTAACAGCCATCCTCCACTCTAGCTGCAGTGGAGGATGATTGATTACAATGCAGGTAATTTCTGACAAGCTTCTTAACTTCAAACTGACGTATTACATACGTCACGGGCAGACTTTAGCAACTGGGTAAAATTGAAAACCTTCACACCTCCAGGAAGCAATCATTTCTCAAAAGAAGACTCTTGATAAGAAGCACAGTGTAAGACAAGAGGCTGGTTTTTACCAGATTGATTTTTAGGCACTTGCCTGGTAAGTCTCACTTATTGATTTGTGGCTCACCATCTTGCCAACTATGACGGTCTTGTTGCAGATTGAAAATGGTGGTTGAGATGTTTATGATTGAGGACTTTTCATCCAGTGACATACATCCAAGGACCAAAGAGTCTGCTGACAATCAAATGAGTTGCTCTCAATGCCCAGCTTGTACCAGCCCATGTTTTGGTTTCCAAAAAATGCGAGAAACTGCACAGAATCTATCTGCAAATAGAGACAAATTTGTTGATTGGGGAAGAACCAATTAAAGCTGCAGCCTGGTTGGACTCTTACTGTGCAGGCAGGGTTAAACTCTAAGTCTATAATACTATCCTACTATGATTCCACAATAGTGTATCACTTGCTTGTCACTGTCTGTGACATTTTTATGTCCCCCAGTCAACACACTGGTTTTGTAATGCCTGTACCTAACCATACCATAACACTGTCCTAAGCACTTACAACTGAAGGGAGGCACATAACAAGACATGCCTTCCAAAAAGTTCCACTTTTCTCTGATCAGTCCATGGAATATTTTCTCAAATGTTTGTATTAGTAAATAAAAACTCTCCTGTGGATAATATTTGTGCCCAGGATTGCCTTTATTGTTTGACGATTAACTGAGGTAGGTGAGCAATGCACTGCTTTAGATGAGGTAGGTTTTTTGTGACCTCCTGGATGAGTGGTCTTGAGAGAGTTTCACTTTGGTTTGCTGGAGTACCAAAGTCTTACAGATGACTTTGTAGCTATATTTCGATTGGGACTTTTTGAGAATATTATGTTATGTTGTGAGCTGGGTTCTAATTAAGTGATTTCTTTAGTCTAGGTTTCTCACGCTATTTTTTGACAGATATATAAAAAAAAAACACTGTATGATCTGAAACATTTAATTGAGACATAAAAAAAATAATAATAATAAAATCTGTGAAGTCAAATACTTCTTTACAGCACTGCTGCTTCAGTTAAATGCCTGTTCTGTTTGCACCAATATAAAAAATAAAATAAATGCACCCCTTCTTTGTACACTGCTACAATCCTACCAAGCATTTCCATCTTGTCTTTTTACTAGAAAACTACCTCTAACAAAGCCAGTAAATGGAAACAAGAGATAACTCCTGCATGTCAGCCAAGTTCTCTGCAGCACCAATACAAGATAAAGCTCCATGGACCAAAGCATTTCCTCGCATCACGTAAATGTGGAAGCTTTGTAGGTTTTTTGTGCTTACAAACTGTACATATACTAGAACTTCTTTATCTTTTTATTGCTTAACTCTATATCCTTTAGCATTTATGTTTACATAAATGCATATGTAATCTATTGCACTGCATTTCATGAAAGGTATTTTATGAATGCCTACTTCTTAATGTTATGAGTCTCAGCACCAGTTTATTTGGATATCATTGGTTTGATGTTTTAAATAATAATTTCTTCAAAAAATATATTTTTTAAAACTGAGAAAAACTTTTTAGGACAGATTTCTGAATTTTTGTTTTGGATAGAAATACATCTGACAAGCAAAGAGAAATAATATAGTACAAAACATCAACATTGATTTAGTACAGATATTGTCAAGGCTACCAGATCTAACATTTATTCACTTATTTTTTTCACAGGGGAAAGATCACAAGAACAAAGATGGGGCAGAAAAACTATGTTTGGGCCAGAAGAGCCTGAAAGCTCAAAAGAAGATGAAGCCTCCAGATGCAACAGGTTCTTAAAGAAATAGATCATAATGGTTTAATTCTTGCAGCATTTAAATCCTAACTCAGAAACTAATCTCAAAATCAGTGCAACCTTAATTACAAAGACTTAATTCAAATTCTGTGTTTCTTGTTTTTTATTTTTTTTTGTAGATAATATTTCGCCAAAGAAGCAGGCTTTGCTTCTTGAAGAAGTGCAGAAATTAAACAAAGAGAACACAGAAAAAACAGATCAATTGTTTCTGCAGCTGGATCTGGAGTCTGGGGTGTCCCCTAAAGACAAGCAACCAGAGGCCCCCGCTCACAACCTGGTGGACTATGTGCAGGAAGATTCCCAAGCTACTGTGGCTGAGGAACGTGAGTCTACAGGTGTTATTGAGGAGCAAACAGAGAAAGAGGAAACTAAGGAACAAGCAGTGCCAGTGGATGATGTAGTGCAAAACATAGCAGAAGAAGAAAAGCCTGAAGTTCCCAGGGAACAACAGAAAGAAAATATTTCTGCTTCTGAAGAACAAATAGAAGTCTCCGAGATGCCCTCTTCCGATGTAGATAAAAAAGAGGAGATTGCTACCAGGTATGATTGTATATACCTATAATTACTCCTGTGGCAATAAGTCAATCTACATTTCTGCACATGGTCTTAGGTTTTGGTAAACTTCCTTCCTGTAGAACAATTATCACTTAATAATTATCTTTCACATTTTTGGTGAAGTTGAGTAGCACTGAGGATCAAATAATTATTACTTTCTACAAAGCAATTTGAGAAAACTATTTTATTTTCTCAAACAAAATAGTTGAATGCAAATATGAATCAATTATTAAAACAGATATTTCCCTTGCTATTCTGGTTTTGTTTGCAATTAACCTTAACCTGCCATAGATATCCAGTTTCATTATTTAATTTTTTTTCTTTCAAATTCATACCGTAGAGGCCATGCTTGGTTATTTTCACAGTTCTTTGTGCTTTTTTGACACATTTGCATCCAATTTGTATTATCTAAAGCTACAAAGTATATAATGTCACAGAACCAAACAAACCCATAAAACCCATCAACTTCAACCTACAGCGATGACCACAAGGAAGCAACACCATGCACAGAGACTGAGCAGGACCAGATCACTGAAACAGAACAAGACAAGAAGGAGGAAAGAGAAGAGGCGCAGAAAGAAGAAGATGATGAGAGCACTGAGCATGAAGACTGGGCTAGCTTCAAGGCAGATGGAATTCAAATCCAGTTCAACCTTAAAGAAAAGTTGGAGAAAGGAAAACTGGAGAATGCTGATGAAAAAATGATAGATGACGATCAAAGTGAGCGGTTCTTCATTGGTGAGTCACATCCCTCTTCTTCAATAGTAGGACAATGCTTGGGAAGCCTGGTGCTAATGAAACTGATGACAAGAACTTTCTTTCATTATCCTGAAAGTTAGAACATATATTGTTTGTACAGCTTTGAGAAATGAAACACATTGAACATGATCTATTTTGCTCACAGTGACTGTACTATTGGTGTACAGTAGTCGTCAACTTGCAAAGTAAAACTGAGCTCTAAGAAAGTGGAAACAAGACTAAAGCAAGGGAGAATGGGCCACTATCATTTGATTTCAAAAATATTAAATATGTCAATAAACAAGACATAAGTACAATTGAATCAACCACTTCAGAGTTACACAAGTGATCAAGAAAGTTATGTGGTCCTCAAGTGAAAACTGAAAGCAATAAGACCAACATGTGAATCTTGCACTAAATATAATAATACAAAGAAACAAAATTGATCAGGAGCATTAATTTCTGACTCATAAATCATTCTTATCCTCTGGAATAAAAGCTAAGTGCTATATTAAAATAAACTTTTATGATGGTTAATAGCTTTACAACAGGAACAGAATAATAATAAATCACAACCCAAAAAAGACAAAAGCAAACTTCCAAAGACACATTTAGACATGCATCTCTAGATGTTCTGGAAGTAAATATAACAGTGGTATGTGTCTAGGATTTACTATGCATCTATCTGAATGCAGTAGATTATGTCATACATATTTTTCTCTTTTATCCAGTAACCTGTGACATTTATCTTTTTAATCTGATTATGTATTTTTTGGGTCAAAGTTTAGGATGCATTAATGGAATAATGACTCTTCACTGAGAAGAATCATTATTCTTCGAAGTGAATAATGATTCACTAAGAAGTGAATCATGGATTCTAGATCGAGTGGATAAAAAATCCACTCGATCTGCAGATCTGGATTCTGCAGTTCAACAGATGGAAGTTCAGAGAAGAGCATAGTCTTGAACCTGAGACTTGAATCCAAGCTGTCTGCTTTCATAAACAATACAGCTCTATCTGTAATTATTTATTACAAGACATTTCTACATGATATGCCAGTGCAATGATGGTTGCATGCATACTTTAAAAAGTCAACCGCAGCTCATTATTAGTGAGACATGTATGTTACGCCTTATTTATAACTTATAAAAAGAAATATCTTTTTCCTTGTCTCCCCAACCCTTTTTAGATACCACTCCTCCTCCGGCAGCTCCTTTTAATCATCGCATTGTGTCTGCTAAGCCAAACCAGATAAGAAACTTTTATACAATCAACTGGCAAGAGGTCCTAGGCGGGTGAGTGCTGCTCCTCTTTTCTACTTACCAAAAATAAATAGTAAAAATCTTGCATTAGTGCTGAACAAAAGCCATTAAAAAGATCAATTCCAGATTTGGGGCCGATTGTGTAATTGTCCTCCCCATCCTTCCCCTTTTCTCTTCCTCTCCTCAATGGTTCATAACTCCAGAGTCATGGCAGTTATTTTTACATGAAGACTGACTGGTATGTGATACTGGATCCACAGCGCCAGCTGGTAGCTAATCTCTAGGTGTTAATTCGGGCCTTCAAAGTAGAGGCGCAGCCTGGCTCAGATTGAATAAAATAGCAGATTAACCGCAACACTTTCCAAAAGGAAAGATCAGTTCTTGATTTCTCATGGGAAAGATGCACTCCACTATCACTGTCCCATTATTAAATGATTCTTTACTGCTGCAATGCATAATTTGCATGGCTAGAACAACGGACTGGCTGTGCAGCAACAGGAAGCCAATTGTTCTCTCTCCCTCTCTTCCTACAGGGGCCGTTTTGGTCAGGTGCACAAATGTGTTGAAAACTCCTCAGGTCTCACTTTGGCAGCGAAGGTCATTAAAGCTCGAAGCCAGAAAGAAAAGGTACGACACCTGAGACACGTTGCCATGACGCTGAGCAAGTCTATTTTAACTCCTACCATGAGAACTGAGCCACGTGTGACATGAAAAAAAACCCAGGGGGGCGTAACAGGTTTTAGTACTTACTAGAATGTTGTTAGGCTTCTCCTGGAACAGAGGCAAAGGGAATACTTCTCACCACAGTGAGAAAATAACTGACCTAGACCAGAAGATGCATAGTCTCCTATCACAGAGAACAGCTGACACCTCTCATTTTATGTGTGTGTCCTCCATCTGTGCGTCTTCCTGTCTGCCTCTGCATCTTTCTGTGCCTGTGTTTTTGGTAGGACGTGGTGAAGAATGAGATCCAGGTCATGAATAATCTGGACCATGCCAACCTGATCCAGCTGTATGCAGCTTATGAGTCAAGGAATGACATCATCCTTGTACTTGAATAGTATGACCCTTTCTTTTTTAGATTTCCAGTACATGCATGTAAGACTACCAACTCAATCTTCAAATTTTTGATATAATTATTAATCAAGATTAATTTACTATAGGCATTATTTGTTTTTAAAGAAAAACGCCTGAATTTTTTGCTATATATGTAAATTGTTTTTGCATTTGTCTTTATCAGTGTTGGTGGAGGAGAGCTCTTTGACAGGATTATTGATGAAAACTACACTTTGATGGAGTTGGATGCTGTGGTGTTCATCCGACAGATCTGCGAGGGCCTTCAACATATGCACAAAATGTCAATACTGCATCTAGATTTAAAGGTAAGAAAAATAAACACAAACAATAAAGATTAGGAATCTCTGCATAAACTTTGAGAAAAGGATGTTATGGAAAAGTTCTGCTACCTTACGATGGTAAAGATTGGACTGCATCATCATTATTATCAAGTTTTTTTTTTGGCAGATACTGTATACACTGGGTCACAACATTTGAATTTATAAAATATGCACATTTCTTAATTATTTACATTAATTAAGAAGATATTTAAAATCGAATGTCTAGCTTCAGACATTCAGGCTTTTTGGCCCCCACTCTGTGGCATTTACAAATCCAAATAAGAAATATCTTTACTCACAAAGGCAATAAAAAAGGGTGGTTTAAGCGGTTCTGTTTGTTTTTATGCAGTAACTCCATAGAATATCTAGAAAGGTCCTTAATTGTACAAAGCTTTGAAAAGTAGTTTAATGTTTCTTAACTTTAAACTATGTAAATAATAATTTTATATAGACTACAGCAAAAGGCTCTCTCAGCTGGACTCATTCTACAAAATGCAAATATTTTTAGTATTCAAAATAGAACATTTCCTTTGTCATTTTTGGTCAAATTAAAACAGTTTTTTGCTGCTCTATATAAATTATATGTTGTAGAAATGGGGTCCGAAATGTTCTTTAAATGATTGCTGTTCCTTGATCTATCTAAAAGTAATAGCTTTTAGAAAAAGGTCTTTAGCATAGTTTTATTTACTGGAAGTAATTTAAAAGTCTTTTTTTTTTCCTGGTCTTTCAAGCCAGAAAACATTTTGTGCGTGAGCAGAGTGACCAACAAGATTAAGATAATTGATTTTGGCCTCGCTAGGATGTAAGTTTCTATTTCTGATTTAATAAATGTTTCATTGGTATTTTGAAAATGCAAAATGTCCCTGGATTGAAAAACAATCATGTCCTCTTACAGATATAAACCACGGGAGAAATTAAAGGTGAATTTTGGAACTCCAGAGTTTCTAGCTCCTGAGGTCGTCAACTACGACTTTGTGTCGTTCAACACAGACATGTGGAGCCTTGGTGTCATAACTTACATGCTGTAAGTAAAGATGCAAATTCATGCTCAACTGTGTTCAAACCACCGGTAAATCTTCCTTCTCTTTAATTGCTAGCCTGAGTGGTTTATGTCCCTTCCTTGGCGATGATGACAATCAGACTTTAAACAACATCTTGGCTTGTCAGTGGAACTTTGAGGAACAGGAGTTTGCAGATACTTCAGTGGAAGCAAAAGACTTTATCACAAGGCTCCTTGTTATAAATAAAACGTAAGTGCATTGTGTCTCTGTATGATCTGGAATTTTTAATGTCTGGTGAGAATTTAAAATATGAAAAGTATTTTTGTCTTACGTTTGTCATCAGATGGAGGATGGGAGCCTCTGAGGCATTAAGGCATCCATGGCTATCCGACTCTGTTCTTCATCATCGTCTTTATACAAAGGTAGAAAGAAATGACTGAAAAACAACTGTGGATTATGAATTATCTTTAATTCTTCCAAATCTTGTGAGAGACTTCTGGTTTAACTTTACATGTATTTTTTAAGATGGAGAGTGTTGGGTGACTATGTCAAAATTAGATTACTTTTATTATTATCTTACAAATGGATTAGTAAAAAAATAATAAATATTAAATGATATTTGAAAATGTGGAATGGGCACATGTTTAACAAAAGACAGAGACAGAGCGAATTCTATAAGAAGTGTTTGTATTGCACTTTGATACTGCTTAATATTTATAAAATATTTTTTACACAATTTTCTTAATTTTTTTGACAGAAAAATATGTGCAGATCACGCAGATCATCATGCGTACCCGTGATTGATTTATAAGGTAATGTTGAAAGTAATCCATCCATCCATCTATCCACAAGGGGGAAGCATTTCTTAAAGTTTACTCTGACATTACTAGACCTCTGGAAACTAACCTTCTCAACGGTTCTTTTTAGATCTGGACAAGAACGAGATGGCTCCTGATGTGGCAACTTGGACCAACCCTTTTTGTCAGTGAAATCTTCTAGACTTCTCTAAATCCAACTGAAGCACCTGAGACGTGGATTGAATTTTCAGGTTACGTGTGATCCCGTATGTTCTAAGAATGTGAAATGTACTCTCACCTGGTTTAATTTATTCACATTACTAATTTGTAAAGCCACTCATTATCCTTTTTTGTCATGTAGCTTTTGCAAAGTTTATAACATTTATTCATTTCTAAAATGCTGCCATGAGGATGTACTTTATGAATTTGACTAGTTTCTGTCCTTATTTAAGTATCTAAAAAATGGTGCTATAAGTATCTGATGAACCATTATGTATTATATACTTGAGGCTGATTTGCGTGCCATCTTTGCTTTCATTAGAAGTGCATGAATGGCTTGAGGCTTCACTTTCAAACACTACTTTCTTTGGTTTATATCTAGCTAAAATGTGGCAAAAGTGTTTTGTGTGGCTTCCTTTTTTTTTTTGCAAAAGACTTAGACATGCTAAGAAAAGGTCTATTGTTGTTATTGCATAACAGTACACATCTATTTTTAACTTCTTTGTCAACTTAGCAACCCTAAAAAATATGTCTGAGAAAAGCACATCTTTTGTTGCTATAGCATAATTTCACATGATAAATATTAGGAAAATCTGACCTGTAATCAAAGTAAGTTAATCTTGTAGATGTAACCAAAACTGTTACTGTACAACTTTAACTTGAATATATTGATATTTATACATTGATATATTTTTAGGTTGATCACAGTACAGAGGAGACTTTAAATAGTGATCCAAAACATCATATTCCCTGTGGTCTGGATGTGATGTGATAAAGTGAGGGATCTCTCTTGTTGCTACTCAACAAAATTAGAAAGAACATGCCATTGAAGTAAGGCAGATGTTTGTTGGTCATATTAAACCTTTTAGAAAAATCTAGCCTTGAATATTGAATATAGTTGTTCAATGGAAAAAAAAAACATACAAAAGGATTTAAGCACAACCACTAATGCAATATTCATTAATATTTTCAACAATTCAAAGAAATAAAAGGTGACTAAAGTATTTCTCAAAATGTTATCCTACCTTTTTCCAATCAAGTGATGGAGGACTTGGTGGACATTTTAAATACGGAATACCTGACTTCATCTTTCCCAACAATATATGCAACAAGGAAGTGCTGTTTTTCTGAGCCAATATTCAAAATAGACAAGACAAGCAAGCATTCCATTTATGTAAAGCCAATGTGTGTTGATCTTCATAAATCAGGACATGACAAAAGAAAAGCTCAAATAGTTTACTGTGAGACTATGATATAGCATTAAAAGATAGTTTTTACTTTGAGGCTTTCTTTTTACAAACCTTAAATATGCTGTGTGTAAAAGTAATAACTGTAAACAAACCTAAATCCTAAATATTCCTTTTAGTCTGTAGATATGACTTTAGAATAAAAGAATGTGGCCCTTTAATTAAAAATTTACTGATTGTGGTGATGTTGATATTTGTATGTCCACTGTCAGATTATGTAGTACTTGCACTTTATAATAATATTTATTTAAACAATAATTCACCAATCTTGTTTGGTGGACAGATTGTATGGTCAAGTCTCTTCATGTCTTCCATGTCTGATTTCTGAGCAAACATGTAACTTTAGAAAACGTACTTCTGCGACACAGTTTATGTCTTACCATCTTAATTTACTAGTTTACTTTTTATTGCATGACTAGCTTTGTGTTTTGCCCACTTTCAAAGTCTAAATGTGACCCACACAGTCTTTTTTTTTATGTAATTTTTTTTAACTGTTCTTTACTATCTGGCTAACCTGCCTCTGGAGTCTTTTTTGTTGCTCAGATGGTTTTGTAGATTTGAGTTTGAAAACCCCCCAAAACATTTGAAATGCCTTCTGTGAAGGCTCACAAACTAAAAATGATCCACAACTTATTCATAGAACATTTATGTAGTTTTAGTTTACCTTGATGATGAATGCTTTAATGATTGTCAGAGCGCTGTGTGCTTGTAAATTAAAGATGTCGTCACTGAGTGTTAACAAAATCAGCATGTAATTGTAAAGTGTGCACAATCCCATTAAATAAACCATTTTAAACTGTTTGCTCTTTCTTCTTTTACTTTTTGAAGATAATATTGCCAGACAAAATAATTTTTTGTTGTCATGAGCTTAATCTATATTGCAGATTTGGACAATTTGTCACAATTCAAAATTGACCTGATGTTTAAAAACAATAAATGCCCTGTATAATATTTTATCAAGTCCAGAGGACACCAACACACTTCACACTCCGTTCCGTCAATCATACACACACACATTCACATGTTGATGGTGGCCAACTACTTGATTGTAACTATAGCTGCCCTTGGGAAATCTGACCAAAACTTGGCTGCCATATACCACCATGAGGCCCAGATATGGAAAGCTGGTTTAATTTACAAATATTAGGACAATGTATATAATCCAATATATATTATAACCAGATTGAGTATGATTAGAACTTTTTTGACTTATATTCCATATTTGCCAAAACCGCTCAGGGTTTTTCATTAAATTATTCATAATCACTCTTATAACTTCCTGATGATGTTTAGTCAAGCTTGAATTATACCTCACACGAAAAGGCCTACCATGTTTTCTGTGGTCTTACTATGAAATAAACTTTATTTATGATAGTTTGACCTGGAGATCATAGGGAGCTACGTTCTCTTCATAGAAAAACAAATTCAGACGGTGTTCCTCCTGATCCTAACCCTGAACCTTTTCAAATGGGATAAAACTAGAAGTTACCAACTTTCCATGTTTGAAGTATTTGTGCTGCAAATAAGTAATGTTTTGTTTTGACGGGAATCTGTTGAGTTCCTGTTTCTTGTTTGTTATTTTGCATTGAAGATGTAAGAAATGAAGTGTTGTCAAAGAGTTTGTAGAAGTCTTATTGTACCTCAAATTTGTTTGGTGGCAACTGAGATACAAATAGTAAAATTTAATGGCGTCAATAAATATGACTCGTAAAATAAAATAAAAAAAATCCTAAGACAGCTAAAATTTATTAAACAATACTGGTTTCACTCGGTTACAAACAGATTCAAAACAACTGCAGATAATTACAAGAATTTACTTAAACTATGTACTGTAAACCCTGACAAAGTTTATACTGATCTACTGACTCCTGCTGTTGTGTTTGAATACTGCAAACAAACAGTTATGACAAAATGTTAATATAACACTGGAAGCAGAAATTTCTAAATCTTTCCACAAACATTTCCAAACTGTAACTGTTTGTTTAGTCTAGGATTCATCTGTTCCACACATCACTTAATTCATCAGGAACCAAAGCTTTCATGTTTGGGATGGTTCAGAGAGAGTTCACATATTCCTGTTTAAACAAATAACGGCAAAGAGAATCTGACTCAGAACATGCTGATTGTGGAGCAAAACAGGTGATACTGATTTATCCAGAGGAATTTTCCATCTCCTTTTGTTCCTGTTCTTTTCTTTCTCTTAATCCCAAGGGTTCAAAGTTAAATGCCAGCTATTGCTCCTTCCTCAGGTCCAAGGCCCACTTTGGAATGGTGAGAAATCCAATTTAAGAGGAGAAGAAAAAAAAAATCTGCCCCTCCACCACTCTGCTTTGCCTGTAAGTCCCCTCCATCCACATCTCTGGGGGAGATTACAAGGAGCCAAATCAAAACCAGATGGACTTATTGGACCAAAAGATAACAAAAAGTGCTTGTGTTCCTGTCAGTTAGAGACCACCACAGCAAAAAACCTCGAAGTGAACAAAAATCTTGGTAATAAATCTCCATAATACAATAAATTTTGACACGTATTAATACATAGTGTGACTAGAGGAAATGTGGAGAAACAGCGACAGCATTTTTGTGCAGTTGATTTTTGTCTGTGTCTTTCAACAACCGGCGCCTTTCTAGGTTTGGGAAATAAAGTTCTCAGTGTTAACCTGGATCTCCAGGTGGAAAACTCCAGAGTTTGTTAGCTGATACACCTACCACCCACACATACTCAGAAAGAAAGTAAAGGGTGACCCCCAGAACTTCACACAACCTCCCACCAGACCCGCTAAGAAAGTGTCCTTTGTAACAGGAGTTTCCTGGATGTAATTAAAAAATATTGGGTCCAGCTCAAAAGGGGAGAGATGAGGCTCAGGGTTGAAAGAGGCTACACGAAGGGCGAGATTCCCTCTCTGTGCTCTTCGTTTCATGTGAGAGCCCCTGGAGCTGGCCCTGACGTTTGTCCAAACAAGCGGTGCTCTCTCTCACTGGAGCTACGCAGAGAGGACCAGGCAGTTCTCAGGGCCTTGGGCAGGTGGTTCTGATTTGAGCAGGAGGAGGGTGGGGCGGTGTAGGGACCAGTCCACGTTTATGTTCAGTTAATAGCACTACACGTGTCATCACATCCAGTGGTGGAAACACGCTGAGTGACTGATCTGTTTTTTACACTGCCGAGGCCTGTCGCCAATAAAAACGTCCAATTATCCTCTCACAGTTTTCCCGAGAGAATTCATACCTGGGTATCACTGATATCAATATCAATAATCATAGACAATTTCAAGCTGCTGCTGCTCGATTTGTGAGGTTGAATTTTCACAACAGAAATACGTGAAGGAAACGATAGTAAAATAGCCACCAAACACACAACAGTTAGTTGATTTAACCTTGTGAAACATTCAGATAGAGTTTGCAGCATCTGGAATGTAAAAACACTGAACTCAGGTCAGTGTTTTCACTTGTATAGATGTCAGCCAGCTTTTTTCTATTTACTTGGTTTTTCGAAAGGTTATTATTCATTGGCAGTTGGTTTAGGCTATGAATTGTTTTCCTTTAAAAATGGGATCTAGCTTTTTAGAAAAGTTTACAAGAAATGACTTGAACAATGATAGTGGCATTTCAAACGTAACTCAATTTCCCCATAGATAAATATTTAACCCTTAAGGAAATTCCCCAAAATAGAGATAAGAAATTTGAAATAGACTTGAAAACAAAGTTAATTCTGTTTTATCAACATATGTTCACATGCACTACCTATTTCTATGCTTTCAAATTTTGACCACTTATATTTGAACATATATGTTTTATTGAATACATGATTAGGTTTCTGTGAGACAAAATATTTGTCTTGGGTAAATGGCCAAAAAGAGTTATGTATTTCAGATTTTTGAGACAAAGTCCCCGACAAATGATCAGTACAGTTTCATACAGCCAATATGGAGTTTGTACTTTTACCCAATAATAGTGAAGCTTTATTTCCAAAATGAAAATAGCTCCCACCCACCTGCAGATTAGTTTCCAGATGAGGGGAGGAAGCACAGCAACTTGCTCCAGCCAATGTTTTCATTCAGTGGTTTCCACTATGATCAAATGGCTATGCTTGAAGCCTTTAATGATCTCAGAGGTCCCCCACTGCTGGGTCATCTGCTTGGCTCCATATCACCTCCGGGTTGGGCCCTATTACTGGACAGGCGGTCCTACAGTGGGGCCATTCCCATTGCATTTGTGTTTATCCATCCCTCTGGCTCATCCTTCGGCCTGCATGAGGTCTTGGTTCATTCTGCCAGCCCTGCTGCGAGACCTCTGTTGTCTGAAGAGGCGCGATGCTTCAACTCTTTGTGTATGTATGTGATTCACTCTTTTACGCAATAACTCCTACGGGGGAGTCTTTGCTGAAGGTACTAAATAGAGCCAAGAGTCTTGTTCAAACAAAATAAAATGTGTGCGTTCTGTGAATGCAAAGCGTATGTGTCTGAATGACTGTAAGAGGATGCTGCCTGTGTACTTATTTGTTTAAATTTTTGCAGTCAGACAAATGAGCTCCATCTTGACCTTGTATCCATGCAAACATCTAATTATTCTGCTTCTGTCACGCTTCATTGGCTCACCTTTGTTTTGGCTCGCCTGCCTTGCCCACTGTGTTGAATACAGAATCCACACATGATACACACACATATGTTATACAACATTCAAGCTAATATGAAAACTCGTACATCCATGTCCTACATCTCTCCATTATGTTCTCCCATCCCACCCTCGGAGTTTGTCCTCCCTCCCAGTGCACTGTGATCGATGGGCCAAGCTGCCGTTGCCCTGCCACAGGGACTGCACTGAGGGGGATAAAAGACCCTTGCTCTGGTCTCTGACTGACTCCCAAAAACAGCAAGTCTGGCCAACAAAAACACAGAAAAAGGCAACAAAATGGCAACCCATGAGGCTGCTGCTTTTGTAGTGTGAAATGTTTCCCACGGTGGAGTTTGAAACAGGAGATGAAAGACATAAATCTGAAAATTAAGAGATGAGGGCAAGGCAGAGAGGTGAGGTGAAAGATGCAATAATTTGAAGGATGTATTTTGTTGAAATGTTGAATAAAAGCAAATGAGAATTATTTTTTATTAATAATAGTTATGAAAGAATTATCAATAACAATCATTGAACTAGGACATATTTGCCTTTGTATCATTCTCAAGCTTCTTTATTTAAGAGGAAAACATATATTTAATAAGCTGCTTTCTGAGATAACTGATAGCTGACCAAAACTAAAAATTCTTCAGTGGTTTGCCCTTGGTTTTGGCAATTCTGAGCCTGTCTTCGTTTAAGGCCAGTCTGCTTTTAGAATGGAGAAACAGGAAAAGAGTCACTGTGCTGTGGTTCATTCTTCAGGCCATATTCACTTGACCACACAAAGAGTCCATTTTCAGGCAGAAATTTTATGTGTTGTGTGGCAGACGGTGCAAGCAGAAGAAAAAAAAAAAAGATTTACTGTGCCTGTGTCTACTCAGGGGAGCTTTGGATGTTGGTTCGCACTCTTGCTGACATGCTTTTAAATAATTGTTTTGGAATGAGAGTTATGAAAAATAAGTAAATTAAATTAGGAAAAATATATTTTTTTGTAACAAGACTTGCAGTCCCTTGCAAAAATTCCTTTCCTTTAATTTTTTCTCAATTTTATAACAAATTTCTACATATTTTAGTGGGATTGGACTTGATAGATCAACACAAAGTTTGCCATATAACCTGCCCAGGTGAGCACCGGTTTAATAATAAAACCAAGAAAAACAAAAACAAAACTGGAACCCAATAACAATTTTTTATTT